GATCTTTGTGAAGCACGCGGTAATCTAGACCCTGGGCCTCAATATTTGGGATCTGGTCAGGAGAGATCACGATGTCGATGTGAGTGTCGATATCGTGGTTCCATTGTTCGTGAGGGATTGTCGAGAGCTTTTGTTGGACGGAGGCCAGTTTGCTCAGAGTCTTGACGCGGAGAACTTGGTACCCTTCATACGAGATTGCGCCTCGCTTTTGAACGGAGAGCCCCGCGACGAGGGAGGCTACGAGTGAGACGACGAGAATGGGCTTCATCGTGGCAACTGAAGCACGGTAACGGTCTATAGCGGTGCACCCAAAGGGGATTGAGGCGAGGGGGCATGGGATCAGGGACAATCGGGATGCCTTTAAGTAACTCACCACCAACCTTGCATCAACAGGGTGCGCCTCTTGGCTGCAAACTGCAAAAGGAAAGTTCGACGGGAAGAAGGTAAGCGCCAAGCCTGTCCCCCATTGTATGATGATGGTGTGCTTTCAAGAACAAGGGTGTATACCAATGGCAGTTTTTGCGCTCTGAGCATGCACTTCCCAGGACTTGGCTAGAAAGGCCCAAAAAAGCGTTCTTTTCCCAGAGATTCGCAATGACGTAAACCATCAGGGTCACCTTCCACATGGAGCTAGCAAATGCATGGCGTTTCTCAGCATACTGGGACTTTTTAGAATTCGCGATTTTTATTGATCATGGCGTTTTCGATTTTGTATTTCAATTGATCTCCTCCATGGTAATTCTAACAGGGAAATTCTGTGGGATCCATTCTTGGATGATCTCGGGAATCATTCGAGGTCGTGTCTGCCTGGCATTGCCAAGACGCTATCTGCAGGGAGCTTTTGATAACATTCGATCCAACTTGCCATCATCGCCTAAGGTTGCCCGAAGTTTCCGAGAGGTCGGTCTAGTCTATAGTGTGGAAAGGTGTGGTCACTATCATGAAAACCGTTATCACATGTTTTCCAGGCTGCATTGGCTTACTGATTTTGTAATTGCCACTCATATTGAGATTGGAGTGAAGGACTTTCAGGTCCACGATTGACGCATTCGTGAAGTTCCACGTCCCATGACTTGGAGGAACAAGTGGCTCTCCTGTCCCTTTAATGGAGTGGAAACGTACGCTATTAGGTATATACAAGACCACCTGTTCAACTTCTCTGATCGACTCTGACAACGCCACTCTTAGAGTTCATCGTGAGTATCGGCCTTCTCTGTCGCGTCTTCGACATTGGCCTTAGAGGCTCCCTCTCGGTTCTCCTTCTGTTCCTCGGCCTGGGCCGGAGCCACCTCATCGTCTGCATCAACCTCGACGACTTCCAGGATCGTCTCTCCATCCCATGGTTCGATGTTGCCTTCAGAAATATCGGTGATGAATGTTTCCACGGCATCGATTGTGATCTCTCCAGTGAACGGGAATACTTGGCCAGTGGCTGGGTTCTGCAAAGCAACAGCGTCTTCGATGTTTGTGGGCAGGCCGAACATTGCAGGCATCTCAGGGTACTCGGTCAAGTCGACGGTGACAAAAGTGATGTACTGGTGATACTTCTTGGCCAAGGGGATGACAGCGGAGCTCCATGCGTCCAAAAACTGGTCGATCCTGGCGAAGAAGTAGACCAACGACTTGCCCGCCTACATCTCGGTCAGCAATCACGATAGATCCGGGGGGGGGGGGGGGGGGGGNCGGGGGGGGGGGGGGGGGGGGGGGGGGTATTGAGGGAACAGACATTGAGGTATTCCGCCTCGTTGCGCCTTGTCAATCGCGGTACCAACGGCGCCGCGCACTTCTTGACCAGCTTCTCCATGGCATCGACCTCGTCTAGCTCTGACGACATTTGCATCGCACCAATGGCATTATTCCAGCATGTAATTCGGCCCGGGGATTCGGGAACGTCGGTCAAGCCGAAAGCATAGCGATCGTGGAAGCGCTCGGCGAGATCATTGTACCGGTCGCGTAGGGAGGATTCTTCGGTGGTGAATTGGCCGAGCACGACAACGTCGTCGCTGCTCCGGAAGGAGGACAGGGTCTGCTTCTCGACGGGGGTTATGACGGGTCGGTTCATGCGGTTGACGAAGGCGCCGATTCTGCGCAGACTCGTTAGCTGGGAGTGACAAGAGGTCAAGTCTAGGACCTGACGTACTCGGAGCCCTTCCGGGAGCCACGGTAGTGGTGTTTCGTGCCGTCGGGGCGGTAGAATCGGATCGCGGGGAAAGAAGCGACGTCGAGGTCAGCGCAAAGGTCGGGCGAGGCTTCGCAATCGACGGAGAGGGCAGTCGGGATCGCATCCTCGACGGCACCCCAGTGCGGCTCGAGAGCTTTGGATGCATCGCTGGTATGGTTAGAGATGGTTCTCAAAGGCGCGGCGCACAACGTACGTAGAAGGCTTGTCGGGTCAGTATGTTGCGTGCTAGAATGATATCGTTGAGCTGCTCGGAGCTGCTGGGACATTTATGGCGAGCTTACCGCGACAACTATCCAAGCGATCAGCGTAGGTCCAAAGCTCCAAGGAAGTCAACTTACAGGCAATCAGACTGTATTCATTGGTGGCAATCGCATCACGAACTTGAGCTTCTGCTTTGTGTTGCCAGCCCAAGCTGGTACCAGCGAGCGCCAGCAGCGGCAAGACAAGCTTCAGAGACATTCTAACGAGTGCGACGGTGACGTATGAACACAGTGGCCGGATGCCGAAGAGAAAGAGGCGAAGAAAAAGGCCACTTCAGAGCTCGAGCTTGAGGAATTGACTCGCTGCGGCGGGGAACCCTAGCTGCCCCTTGCACCCCTGAATTTAGATGAACCGCCGTTTGATCGCCTTCAGGGGGTGGGGAATCAGCGCCGAAGCATGAACGGTGTCCTAAATTCCAGATTCTAAAGCACGGGTTTGCAATAAGTCTACCACCATCAGCTTCGAAATGATGTAAATGGTGAGAACAAGAGCGGAAGCGTGCTAAGCCGGGCCGAATCTTCAACTGAGATGTTCAACGCCGCTGTGGGGCTACCGGTCTTGGGGCCGAACGCATGTCCTGGCCGGTGAATCGCCAGCAACTCCGGAGGCACGGCCGTAGTCTCTGGATCGGGCGTGCATCAATGTTCCCCGGTCTTTACCCGCGGCATTAGTCGAGTGCTTCGAACATTGTCCTTCGACTTATTATTCGGTCCATCTTCCAGCGCATTCAGCTATCAAACGCATGCACGCCTCTCCTTCAATGGGGTGGAAGTTCTTCGACTAGACGCTCACCGGTATGGATCCCACCTTCGCCTATTCCATAAGAGGAAACCTGTTCGTCGAAGTCTTGTCGACGTCGACAGCGAATTGGCTTCGAGCATGACACGCATCGAGTCTCCTGCGACGATGCCTCCATTCCCGCACAGCACGCTTCCTGGGCCGTCAAGTAGTGCTCAGGCACAGGGCTGGATTGACAAACGCCATTGTACGATAGTATCCTCCTGGCTTCGACTGATGAGTTCAAGATCGGTTAAGATTAAGGTTTCCTAGGAGCCGTTTGCCGGCTGATCCCAACCTTATTCAACCCCATGGCATCGCCCCCACGAACCGGCAAAAACGTGCCGACTTGACAAAGTCTAGACCAACGCGAAGAGAGCCCACTATGGATTGTAACACGAATCAAGCAACTGAGCTTGCAACGCAGCTGTCAGCGGAAGCTTGATTCATGCTCAGCGGCTACTTCAACTAGCAGACACACTCAATGCAGGAAGAACTCGGTGTGAGCTGGCCGGCATGTAGCCCCGCTTTCCATCACCGGCAGGCAGCAAGATCGTGTTTGGGTAACACGAGAGGCTGAGCAAACGCTAAGGGTGTGATGACAACCCGGCAGCCGGAAGAGTGATGACATGCAGACTGCAACACCAGCTCGCCTCGATTGCGCAGTGAATCGACCTGGGAGCTGCATTCTTTGACAAATAGGTAGACATGTCTTAGTTCACACAGGCTGCTATCTTGCAAAAGCCGGAGACCCAATCGTTCTTCGACGTCAAGACAGCATTACGGTGTCTCCTCCTTGAGGGGTCCTGTCTCGGGCCGTGTCAAGAGCAAACGTGGGAATCTCTTCCCCTCATTACGCCCGTATTCGCCCGCACTAACGGACATAACGATGCCTCCGGCACGGGAATGCAGGTCTATCCGTTGGTGCATGCTCGCTCCCGTCAGCCCCTCACCCACGCGGGCCACCCGCTCGACTCCACCCGCAGACGCGATCCGACATGGGCGCTCTCGATGCCATCATCTTGCCAACCTCCATTACCAATCGCTGCTTCCCGAGGACCGGGTAGGCCTAACCGGGGCATCTCGTTTGCCCAGCCAAGCAGCCCCCTTGGGCGCGCAAACACGGGGTTTTCAGCTGGCATTGATCGGAGCCATCGGGGGAGTAACCGAGTCGGACAGGAAGTGCAGAAACGCCTCGGTTGCATGCATGACACGCAGCGAATGACGATGCGTGGAAGCCCAACCCCGACATACGCGCTCAATCGAGAGCCAACGTTGTTTGTTGCTGTTTGACACCTTTGCATTTTCTTTGCTTTTTCCTCCACATAGGCTGACGGGACGCCCAATGAACCTAATCTCGCTCCAACCGTTGGCAGCGCCTCAACTGTCGGCTGCAGACTGAGACAGAGCGCCCGCCGCCCTTCGCGCTCCTCAACGGGGTGCATGGCGGAACGGCGTGTCTCTGTGCCCGCTGCGTCATTGAAAGGCACGTCACTGGCCGGTCACCTCTAGCCTAAGCGAGAGATGAGATTTTATTTGTGAGGAATCGAGCAGCGAAACGGGAAGGACCGCGAGGTTTCACCGCATGACGGTCCTTTTCGTACGATGACACCCCTTCCCTCTTAAAGACCGTTTGTCTCGGTCAGACAGAAACCTGGCGCCTGCTCGTCTGCTTCTCTGAAAATCTCTGCGGCTACCTCTGCGTCCCCACGTTTCGTCCTGTCAGCTTTCTTCAGCGTTCATCCGTGCGAGAACTTGACGGCGATATCTGTGGAACGACATGGCATCCGCGTTCATCGAGCTGGCCACGGGCCCTTCAAGGACGGAGCCGTCTATCCCAAGCCCTCCCGCTTCTATCCCCAGTCCTCCCGCTGATCCACAGCCTTCGAGAACGGGACCGTCTGTCCGGGATCCTGCTGCCGACCCACAGCCTGGAGTGGCTACAGATACGCGGATTGAACCGAACCCGGATCTAGATGGTGGAGATGATAACGACGATGCAGACTCCGCGATCGACGCCCAGAGTATTGTGTCGTCTACAGCGTCGCTGTCCGAGAGTATCTTCGACTATCGCAAGCTTCATGGCCGGACGTACCAGAATAGCAAGACGACGGAGTACTGGGCGCCGAACGATGAGCAGCAGAATGACGGACTGGACATGATCCATAACGCACTGCTGATGCTTCTGGACGACGAGCTCTTTCTGGCGCCAATTGGGGATAATCCGCAAAGAGTTCTGGACGTCGGCACGGGGACGGGGATTTGGGCAATCGACTTCGCAGACCAGTACCCGGACGCTGAGGTTCTTGGCACCGATATCAGTCCCATCCAGCCAACGTGGGTGCCTACCAACCTCCGCTTCGTTCTGGATGACTGCCTCCTCGACTGGATGTGGCCGGAGGATCACTTTGACTTCGTCCACCTGCGGTGTCTTTACGGTAGCATACCAGACTGGGTGAGCTTATACCGGTCAGCTTACCGGCACCTCAAGCCTGGCGGTTGGGTCCAGAACCTGGAGTTCGACGCCAACGTTCAATCTGACCACATCCAGCTCCCGCCAGACCATGTTTTCCACGAATGGAGGCGCATCTTTGACGAAGGCGGCGAGAAGATGGGGCGTTCCTTTTCCGTCTCCCGAGGACATACAATGAAGCACAACATGGAGGCGGCTGGGTTCGTCGACGTCGTGGAGAGAAAGATCAAGGTCCCCATGCATGGCTGGCCGAAAGATGAGAAGCTTCAACACGCGGGTCTCCTGATCAACATGGCCTTTGACCAAAGCCTTGAGGGGTTTGCCATGTTCCTGATGACTGAGATTCTGGGATGGGATCCAGTACAAGCGACGGTTCTTGGGGCGCAGATGAGGAGAGAAATGAAGAAGAGGTCCAACTATGCTTGGTGCGAGACGTACGTGTCCCTACGGGCGCAATGAATATGATGAATATGACTGACTGAGTTTCCAGAACGATTGTCTATGGGCGCAAACCAGCGATCTTCTGAAGGGATCTGGGGAGACGACCAAGAAGAGACTAATACAGATCAGAGATACAGAATCTTCCAAGTTTGCCCGGCTTGCATCAGTCCGGTAGCTCTACCAGGAGGAAGACTGGGGTTTTCTTTTCTGAACGAGAATCGTGTCGACAACAACCATTATCATCAGCAAGAACGCCCATTTCCATACGCGCCATACCCCAATAACAAACAGCCTTGATTAAAAAAAGGAAAAAAGCCAAAGCCTGTTCAATTTCATAATCCCTCAGCCAACTGCCTAGCCATCTCGCCAACGTCGATAGCGATGTGTTGCCACGCGGATGCATCCGCCCGATCAATCACACGAAATTTATCATGTACATGTTGTTTGATTCAGTCGCCATGACCTATTTGTTTCAATATGCCATGCAATCGCCGCCGATGCGAACTCTTTGATGTTTTGAGCGCACCTTCGGTCAACGTCCGGTCATCGGCACGTCGTACCCGGCGGATGTGTCCGAAGTGCAGTGACCTGCTGCCCCTCCCCCGCTCCCCCGCATGAGGGGCAACTCCCCGTTCCCGCGGGAGTGACGACGGGACTCACTCCCGTTTCCGGAATATTAAATGTATTTTTGACAAACTTCCCACTGATTAAGAACACTTCTTGTCCTTGAAACTAAATTAGCGCAATCTCACGATTCGGTTTCAAATCGTCGTCTTCGCCCGGCTCTTCGATTTCCCATCGCTGTCATGCCTCTGCCCAGCACCGAATGTGACGTTCTCGTCGTCGGCAGCGGCAACGCGGGATTCTCCGCCGCGCTGTCCGCCGCTGAAACGCAGTTGCCATCCGGCCAAAAGCCAACTGTCCTGCTAATTGACAAATGTCCTGAAGAATGGGTCGGGGGCAATTCTTATTTCACTGCCGGCGCCTACCGGACAGTCCACGATGGCCTCGACGATATCCTCCCGCTTGTCAACAACGTCGACGACGAAAAGGCGACTAAAATTGACTTGGCGCCTTACACGATTGGAAACTTTGCGAAGGATATGGAAAACGTCTGCGCGGGGCGTTCGGATAAGGAGCTCTCTCGAGTACTGATCACGGACTCGAGATCTACCGTGAAGTGGCTTGCGGACCATGGCATCCGATTCCAGCTATCCTTCAACCGTCAGGCATACGAAGTTGACGGGAGGTTCAAGTTCTGGGGCGGGCTGTGTCTCAAGACTGAGGATGGGGGCAAGGGTCTCATCGCGGATCATCTAGCTGCGGCTAAAGCCAGTGGTGTGCTCTTCTCTTGGGGCACTGGGCTGAAAGGGGTCAGACGACAAAAAGGGGGTGGGAAGCATCGCTATCTGGCTACGGTTCTTCACGATGAAGTGGAGCAGGTCGTTTCAACAAATGCGATTGTTTTCGCCGCTGGCGGGTTTGAGTCGAACCCACGGATGCGCAGCCAGTATCTTGGACCTGGGTGGGATATGGCCATGGTTCGAGGAACTCCTTATAACATGGGAGATTGCATCGAACTGGCCATTCGAGATCTCGATGCTTTGCCAGTGGGCAACTGGTCTGGGTGCCACGCCACGTGCTGGGATGCGAACGCCGATCCGTCGGTGGGCGACCGCGAGGCATCCAACGAGTACACCAAGTCCGGATACCCTCTAGGTCTCATGATCAACGTCGAAGGAAATCGGTTCGTCGACGAAGGTGTTGCCATGAGAAACTACACATATGCCAAATTCGGCCGTGCGATTCTTCAGCAGCCGGATCACGTCGCCTTCCAAGTTTGGGACGCTCGAACGACACCGTGGCTTCGATCTGAAGAGTATCGCCCAGAGAGACTAAAAGATAATCGCTTCGAAGCGGCAACAATTGAAGGGCTCGCAGACATCTTATCTTCGAATGGACTCAAGGATCGTGAAAAGTTCCTCAGCACTTTGCACAATTACAACTCTGCAGTATATGCGTTTCAGCAGGAAAACCCATCCGCGAAGTGGGATCCTTCTGTTCTGGACGGCGTTTCGACACAATCATCAACGAAGCAACTGCCATTGGACAAGTCGAACTGGGCACTTCCTCTGGATAAGGGTCCGTTTCTTGCCGTCAAGGTGACTTGCGGCGTTACGTTTACCTTTGGCGGGCTCAAGGTCGACGCTGAGAGTGCGCAGCTAATCAGTGCCACAACAAGGAAACCCATTCCAGGATTATTCTGTGTTGGTGAGATGATGGGAGGCCTCTTCTATCAAAACTATCCGGGTGGCAGTGGGCTGACTTCCGGTGCTGTCTTTGGTCGGAGGGCAGGCAGAGCTGCCGCGGTGAGTGGCGGGGAGGTTTAACCGGCATTGATCAGCTTTGTGTCGTCATTCCATACATTATATGCAAAATATATATCTGGATACCTATCAACGAGAAATATCAGAAGGTCCTCATTTCCAGACTCTCCCGTTGATATGTGGGTTTTAGTCCAAGTAGAAGATGGCACGATGATGAAGACCCTTGTTCGCTCACGTGGATGAGTACCTCCTAGTCAGTCCCTGTCCTCGAAACATCTGGGTTTGACCCCTTTATGCAAGATTCGAATGAACTCTTTCATTATACCAACGCCGTTTTCTCTTTGTAGTCAAGCGAAAGTGACATAATCAAGCAAAGCATAGAAGGGGCATGTGTCGTTGGGCCAGTTCTTGCCTTTCGAGTGAGTGGGAGGCAGGTGCCTGGTCGGATCCTTCCACCATTGTATTGCACCTTCCTTCTTTTGCAGTTTCCCTTTCATACTTGGGCAGGCACACCGCATCGTCTGGAAGGTGGCAGAATTCTCACGCCTTCCGGTGCAGATCTCGGGTCTCTCGGGCCTCTTTCGCCCAACTTCAACCTCTTCAACCCATCTGCATCATCCCACATATGGCGAACTGCGCTGGACGACCTTGATCTCCATCAAGTTCACGCTTCCCACTGCATCCGATACGAGGCAAAAGCATTTTCGACATGGCCAAGGCGGAGGAGCGCCGCCTGACCGACGTGTCAATCTCGTGGACCGACGCCTCTGGCCAGCGCCTCCAACTTGGGCCGTCCAAGGACGTCAAGACTACACTCCTTCTACGAGAGGACCCCAAGACATGGGGTTGGATCCAGGTTACATTCCCAAGCACCGACATCGCCCATGCCAGACGGAAATCCAAGGGCGCCAAGCCCCGACTCTTGCCCACGCCTGACCGCAACATCTTCATCGACTTGCTTCCTCCAAACATTGACGGTACTGTCCTATCTTCCCCTTCTCGAAGGAAAACATACCTAACCTCGGCAACCTAGTGTTTGCCACCACCTTTCAGCCCCGTGACGAGCCCGACTCTGTTCTCGTCGTCGATGTAACCCTGGAAGACCCCGATGTGGTCTGGATCAGAGCTCGAGATGCCGGCTCGGTTGCCCTCAACGATGCCCAGATGGAAGCTGTCCACCTCTTGGAGTTATTCTCCGAGACTTCCCGACTCAGAATTTCCGTTCCTTCCGACAAGAAAGTCAAGAAACACAGCTGGGACTGGGACAAACACTTTGCCAATGACACAGCTAGAACGGCGTACAACTACGGCTTCGTTGTCGACAAGCGCCGCCGCCGTGGATTGAGGAAGCCTCGTCGAGAGGCCGATTGGAAGAACTATTACATCAGAGGACAGTCTCCGCGGCAGCCTGTTCAGACCAGGCTTCCCTTCAACGTCAAGAAAAGTGGCAAAGATGTCGGAATGGCTAGCCTTTCTGACGGGCTCGTTGCACCACAGAACAACAACCTCGAAGACAAGGCTTTCCGTCTGGGTGCCCCCGACGACAAGCATGCAAAAGGGAACGATGGAATCAACAGCGAATAGCACGGCTTCTAGCTTGAAAAAGACGACGGTCAACAACAATTCTATCTTTCTATGGTATCTTCTATCAACAGGCTTGGTTGCGTGGCGTTTTGACCGTCGGAAATTGTGGCAGTGGGATGGTCTCTTAAGCCAAGAGGTCCGGCGAATTTTTCACATGGCATTGCTGGGAGAAATTGTGTTGAAAATTGCGACTTTCGACATTTTCAGTTACACCCATCTTGACAGTTAGGTAGAAGACGACGTATATAATTCAAGGCTAATCTCGGTCAACCGGATGCATCACCTTCTTCGTCTCCCTACCGGATTTTACAGATTCTCGCACTCACGTAGAAGTATGGATAATGTGTTGAGCATTGAACAGAAGGAACCTGAACTTGCCCATTTCTTCCCATTGCTTGTATTTTGATAATTTGGCTGACGGGGACGTATTAACCACGTCGTATACACGCTGGAATCATTTGCTGCCGACGTCTTGGTCCCCGTGCGTCTGCATCGTCGTCATCGTTGTCCAGATTCCAGCCTCGATTTTCCGCGAGGGTAGGAATTGCATTACGAGCTAGAGCTACCCATGGTACAGTATTCAGAGAAGGCGATTTGGGGGTTTGGAGCATCCGGGATTGACTACCAACCAATGAAATATGATTGCCGTGCCATCTCCATCAACCTTCGAGTTTAATCTTTCGAGGAACAAAATTGCATGGTCACCAGACAACCCAGTCGGATGCATCCGAGTTTGGGAAACCCCCTCCATGAGCATCTAAGCATTTGCCTTTTCATCGGGATGTTTTGCCCGACGTTCATGATCCTGGCACCCTGGACATCCCATTCCATCCCTCTGTCATGGTTGTCATTGGTTGCGTCAGCGATCGTTCGCCAGATCTGTTCCTTGTACGCGACTGTCCAGCTTGTATCATGACTCGCCGTGTCCAGGGAATGTCATCTGTCGATCAGGTACGCCCGCCCGCCGTCCGAGGGTGCCGCGACCAGTTTAAGTGGAGTGAGCAAGGCGTAGAGAGCCAGAGATCAACCCAGAGCATGGTTCCTGGCGGGTAACCCGCATGAAACTGTCTAGAACAGATCCGGAAAGACGAGGAACAAACATTTGATTCACAGGCGCTAGTTTGACGGGTAACGATCCATCTAGATGATGAGCTCATGAACTGCTTCACACATCTCGGGACTGCACGGGAACAGCTGGTCACCAGATGATCGACGAGTTTTTTGAGGGGTTTTGTGTGACACTGACAAGCTTGACAGCGGTTCTCTTGACGCGCCTGTTTAGACGACGAGCCCGAGGATAGTACATTCAGACGACACTCAGTCTGCTACGCTGGAGACGTCTCGTGTCCACTTACTCAAACATCGACATTGATCTACTCCGGCTGTTCAACTTACCCCGCCGTTAGGATGTTGCAAACGAGAGCTCGGAAACCTTAATCCTTCAACATGCCCAAAGTAGTTTGACCCCAAAGCATGACTGAACGACAAACTTCAGAATATCGGCACCATTGATTGGGTTTCGCGCAAATTGGCAAGTAAGCTTAAACTTTCATACTCCGTTCACCGGCTGCTAGCGGCGACACGGACGAAGATGGAGGCCGGCCCCATGCCTGATAGGGTATTCGAAGCCGCGAGTGGTGTGCTTTCGGATTCGTTTGCATTGAATCTAGATGATCTTCACCCAATCCTGACACCAGGTCTCCTTGTTTTCTCGGTTGGATTGGGTTTGATATGGCCCCGAGAATCCCACGCCGTTCCGCTCCCCACTCCTCCAACCCCGCCGATCACGATCAGCTGCACCTCGAAAGAATATGGAGTCAGTTGCGTCATAACTACCCGGTAGATGATGTCAAAAAGCTCTTCTGAAGGTCGAGACATCAGCCTCTTTTTGAACTTCGGGGATCCTATTATTCTAGTCATTCCCATTTACCAAAGTTGTCACTAGTGTTTTACAAAGCCATTTTGCTTTGCCGCTTCGCAAAGAATATTTTTGAATCGACGATCAACTAGCGCCTTGAAAGCCCATGATATTTTTAAGCTAACCCACGAGGGAGTGTGCCTTGCAATCGCGGGTGAATTTCGGTGGTTCATCACGATGATAATTAAAACCTGTCTTTAACGCCAGTGCATGCAGTAGTACAATAATTTGTCCCTTGAGTGACTTGGCCTTACAATGCCCTTAATTTAACAAATCTGTACTCAGTGATGTTATGCACTCCATTTATTGGGGTGTGAAGAAGACTAGCTACTCGCAATCGAGTGGAGATGAGAGAGCTGAAAGAGACCGAATATTCAGTTTAAGCCTAGAGCCTAGACCAGGAGAACACGCAACGTGATTCCAGTACAAGGGATCGTTGACGGGTGCACATGTGTGATCATCTACAATCGAGATTCTTCAATCAGAGTGACTTCGTGATTTATGGCGGTTTCGAAGGGAAGGCATCGAGATTCAGCAACACGACATCCGTTTTCCGGCCAGTACGTGCCAAAATTCGACCGATAACGAAGCGCAGAAGGGATATTTAGCTTAACGAGCTGATGCGCTTAGTCCTTCCTCGTCTTGAATTTCTCCGAAAGCTTTCCAAAAGGCTGGGTTGTCGAAAAGCTTGTCAGAAAGCTAGACAGGTCCCGACTTCAGATGAGGTCCGGCATCGTGCGATGGCCTCCATGTGGGAACATGGAAAGCTTCTTCACAGAGGAGAAAGATAACCAACAGAAGCATCGCGGCTTCTCATCCCAGGGCATTGTTTTCATCATATGGCGGATGATTACGAACGTCCCTTGGGAAAGGCCCACATGCTGCCTAGTACAACGAATCTTAGTGAACGTCCATCTCAAAGGTCAATCGCAAGATCTATATATTCCAGCTGTCAACGCCAGGTTCTCACACTTCTTCAAGCAAGTCGATCTTAACATTCAATCATCAAATCGCACTTACAATACCTACTTGCCTATCTCACTTCATATTCAGGCGCAGCACTTTGCCACAAGCCCATCAATATGCACTACTCTCGGCTATTCTTCTCTCTCTTCCTCCTCGTCGCCTTGGTTGTTGCTGTGCCTCTACCAATGCCTTTAGATGGCTTGTTTGAGAGGTCCGCCAACAGGAAGGGCGACGGTCTAAAGAATTCCAAGACCACGGCCAAGGGAATCCAGAAGAACATCCACATACAAAAGGACGAGCTGCACGAAGTCAAGGATGTAAGGAAGGCTGAAGGGACGAAGAACTTCCGTAAGGAACAGAGTGAGCTCAAAGCCGATATCAGGGCAGGACAGAGACAGCGCGAAAGGAACCAGCATACCGCCGATCCATCCAACAGGAAGCTGGTCAATGGCTTAAATAAGGTAATGAGAAATCCGACGCTAGTGTGCGAATGTTGAACGTCAAATACTGATTGTTTGCTCACAGGTCGAGAAAGCCCAAGCCAAGGAGTACAAACAAGCCTCATCTCTGAACGGGGGAAGAGGTGACAGGAAAACATTGAACAAACTCAACCACGAGATTCACGACGGTATCAACGTGAACAAAGAGAACAAAAAGGCCGTAAGTGTTGCTGCCAATTTCTTCAATCAAGCAGAATACTGACAGGCGCCTACAGGCGCTGAGAGGCAATGATCGTCACGGCCACGGTTACTGAGCGCGCCAGGGCAGGATCGCGAACTGATGTGATGCTAAGCCTCGCATGGGATGGCTGAAGCTAGAATTGCTGAAGCTGGGATGGGCAAGGCGGACACAAAAACGTGTAGTTAAAAATTATCCGTTGAGTTCAGTACAGACGTGGAGTCAATGCACCATTAATAAATTTTGGGTTATCAATCTTGAGAAGGTCCGTGATGGGAATTCGGCATGACGAAGTATTTGGAGAAAACAATTGCAGCGATAGAACGGAGTATCGGGATTTCAATGGTGCCTGTGCATCCGTGTCCAAGCATGTGCTGCCAGAAGTATCGACAACTCGTCGTCAACAATGCTCCTGAGATCTGCTTTGTACATGGAGAAGAGATCCATCATCCAATGTATATTTCCGACATCTCGCTGGTCTTTTGGCGGCAGTGGTATCAAGAAGTACTGTGCCCCTCGTCCAGGAGGAGGTTCGTGTTCCCGACGAAATCCAAGAAGGCGGGCTCGGATCCTCCAGCAGAAGATAGACTCGGGTCAAGCTCTAGGTTAGTGGGGAAAATCTAGAAAGTTTGTTCGAGAGCCAAGATGATAGATAGGCAGCTGAGATTGGCTTTTACGGGAAGCTTTGTGTGTGTGCAGAGCTCCATGCCACCACTCCATGTGCGGACCTGCCGAGGAGGGATTAACCCACTTCGACAGCATGCCCGAGATTCCAGCATATTGGGAATCGCTTGTTGGACAACTCGACCCCAAATCAACTTCCGGCATCGTGATGAGGATTCGCATGATACACAGAATCGAGATCCAGACCTCATGATTCCATCACTAGCCGACGCACTGCAAGAGTAAACTGCCAGCGTCGTCAGCCCCTCCAGCCAATAAAGCAACGGGGAACTGGCTCGGCCTAGGTCATCGCTGTGAGCGCTGTCAACATGGATGCGATGACGAATTCTAGAACCATGAGCTGCGGCCTAGAGCTGAATGAGTCAGTGCAGAAGTACCTGAGTACGGTTGTCGAGATTGTACTTCAGATGACTGCGCGAGATTTATGTTCCGAACAGCCACAACATTTGACTACAATTAGGTACACACCATGAACCTTGTCTTATTAAACTAGGCGGCAGCCATTCTGGCCATCCAGAATGCGAAAATGTGTGAAGATGAGGCTCTGAAAAACGTGCTGAGATATTTGGGATCGCGAACTCTTGATCCACACTATGTGCGGCTAAATGGCACCATGGAAACCGTAAAATGCTAACGTACCGCACATCTTTGGCCAATTGTTGGACCACGAAAATCACCTGTTGCGCGGGAAGTTGACATGGCGTACATCATTGAGCCTAAAGTTTCTGCCCTTTCCCTCTCCCCTCCTTCAGTCTCTGTACTCGTTTGAAGGCATTATCCAATGCTTTGTGCGTATTCTCGAAGTAAATATGGCTGAACTCGCTGCTGGCCTGGCCTTTCATCGTGCGTGCTTGGATACCGTGGCTGATGGTACCTGAGCGGGCATAATGAAAAATTGCTGCAATCTCCCAGTCCTTTCCGCCGCCGTCTTTGCGTGGATCGAAGCCGACAATCCCTGCATAGCGATCCAAGAGCTCTGCTGGCTCTGGAATGCCTCTAGAGCTTCGATGCTCTGGCCTAAGTGATTCAGGAGGGCCAGTTATTGACTGGCCAGGGCTGATATGGTCATCAAAGAATGGACTCATAAAGTAGACGAGGTCCATGAGCGGATGCCCAATCGTCGATAGCTCCCAATCGAGGATCGCAATTACTTTTGGCTCGGAAGGGTGAAGTATCTACGTACAGCTGTAAGCACTACTTTGTATCCAGGCAGAAATGAGATATTACCAAGTTGTCGAATTTGAAATCGCCGTGGACGATGGAAAATCGTTCGCCGGGGAGATTTTCTCTCACGTAGGACATGATACCGTCATAATTCTCGTGAGCCCGCCCAAGAAGCTCACCCGTCTTCTTGTCCCTGACCGCAGCTTGTTGAGATTCTATACGGCTCCAAGTGTTACAATGACGAGCGTAGAAACCAATCTTCTTCCCGTATCCTTCCAGACCGATCGCATCCGGATCGAGCGAGTGAAGCCAGGCTAGGGTCTCCGTTGCGGAAAACCAGCTTTTTCATCTCGTTATTTTGTGATGGCAGATGTTGAAATTGTAGGGACTCACGCTTTGCGCCTGTCGGATGGTGAAAGCTCTGCCAGACTGGCGTCGGTAAGGATCCTTCCTTTCACAAACTCCATGACCTACGAGGCCCACATGATTAGTCTAAAATATCTGAGCTGATGGGTTTCTAACGCACGTAGAAGGAGGTTCCTATGACCGATTCCTCAGTGCACAGGGTTAACACCCGCGGCACGGGGAAGTTAGGAACAGATCCAAGGGCTTGAAGAACCCTGAACTCGCGATCAACTTGATGTGCGACTGGACTAATTGTCTGACCCTGAGGTTTCTTTCTTAAGATGAACCTTGAGCCGCTGTTCCGCGTGGAAAAGGCGTTCCCTGTTAGTGTACTATGACCATGATAAGGGCAGGCAGAAAGCCTTTCAGATCTCAGACTAACACTGCATCATCAAGGAAATAGGTTGGATTGCTCTGGCCATATCCAATCTTGGTTGTGGTAATCGGTAACTGAAGGCCCGGTATCGTTCCTGACTTGCGAAGGTATTCTCCTAGGGCCTCGTTGTCGACATCATGATGTGAACCGGACGAAGACATGGCGTTGACGAGAGTCGGCCGCTTGAATCACAGCACAGATGACAGATGCAAGTAAAGTCCAATGCTTTGCTCGAATACCTGACCCTCCCGGGTTATTGAGAAGGCGAAATGCCGGGATACGGAGGTGCGGGGATGCGGGGATGCCGTAATGCGGGGTTTCGAACAAGCCGAGGGCCCTCGGGTGCCGACGTCAGCGATCTTGATCTGCTGAGTCGAGAACAACAGACGTCCACGCTTCGAACATCAAAGGTTTTTAATAGTGAGCCTCAAAGATACTAATCCCTTACACGAGCATGGTGTTTCGAACACGGTTCCAATACAACTTTTGCAACAATCAACGAAGATCTCGCACTGCAACCTAGCCAACTACTCGTCATGAACTTCGAACTTCCCAAAGATGTGCGAGATTACCTAAAACGACTTGACACTTTCATCAACGACGCCATTCTTCCTTTACAACACGAAAATGATAACAACCGCTTCTTCGACCATCGTCGCGAGGCCTCACGTACTCAATGGAACAACCAAGGCTTGCCGACTGAAGACTGGGAGGCGTTACTTGACAAAGCCAAGAGGATCGCCGACAAGGCAGGATTTTTTCGCTTTGCATGTCCGAAGGAGTATGGCGGCTCAGGTGTCGAAACACTGAATTTATACATGTGTGCCGTGCGATACCACCTTGCATCTCACCCTGTGTATGGAGGAGGCGTGAGCTTGGCGAACGATCTTCAAAGCGAGCATAGCATCGTCGGCAACATGCCATTCATCATCATGTTACATCATTACGGTACTGCGGAACAGAAAAAGAAACTGATTCCTGCGAGCATCAAAGGCGAGTTGAGGGCGACATTCGGACTCACCGAAATTCATCACGGCTCTGATGCTACGCATATGGACACGACAGCCCATGCAACCAAACTGCCAAGCGGCGAACCGGGCTTTTTGATTAATGGCAATAAGAAGTGGCAAACAGGGATGCACACCGCAAATCACTGTCTGGTTTTCGCCCGAACCTCCGGCAAGGCTGGGGATGCGCGGGGCATCACAGCTTTTCTAGTGCCTCGCGCAACACCCGGAGTTACCGTCGCCTCCTTCGAGTGGACGTTGAACATGCCTACCGACCATGCCACAGTGATATTCGAAAACGTTTTGGTCCCGGCCACATGCATTCTTGGGCCACTTGACAACGGCCTGGCGGTCGCGCAGACTTTCACCCACGAGAACAGGATCCGGCAGGCAGCGTCAAGTTGCGGGGCTGCGCGATACTGCATTGATCGGAGTATTGAACACGCAAACCGTCGAAAGGTCTTTGGGAAGCCATTATCGGCCAACCAAGCTATCCAGTGGCCCCTCGTGGAACTTTCGACTCAAGCGGAGATGCTCAGACTTCTCATCCTGCGGACGGCAGTGGAGATGGACCAAGTCAACACCGAGGCCACGGCGGCAGGGAAGGCCCCCTGGGTTGCCATTGAAACACAGCTCGGTCACAAGATTGCAATGTGCAACTACGTTGCGAATCGTTTGGCGTGCGACTCAGCCGATCGGGCCATTCAGATCCATGGTGGGGATGGATATTCGCGACATTTGCCCTTCGAACACATATGGAGGCATTTCAGACGATACCGAATAACCGAAGGAAGCGAAGAAGTTCAAATGCGGAAGGTGGCAGCTTATTTGTTCGGATACAAGACGGCAAGTCCAGATGATGCGAGTAAGCGGGGACCAAAGTTGTGAAATGTGGAGGAAGGCCTGGGCCCCTATTCAGAACACACGCATAGTTCGTCGAGTATCTGGCTATCTCATTTAAATCTTTGTTTTTTTCTTGCATGTCCGCCTCGACAACGTTCGGCACGAGAAGAAACAACTTGAGAGCAAGCAAGCTATTCATTACACTAGCCACCAGCATAGCACCCCGTTCAAGCCTAATCAATCAATTAATCAATTAACTAATCAAATTAGAGGCTTTTTACTATTTAAATAGATAAGCCCATAGTACTAGAAGCTTAGTTAACTTAATTAAGCCGATATTACCTAGAATAATAAAAATCTAACCTTTAAACTAATTAGGATTTTTAAAAGATTTTTTAAAAAAATAAAAAAAAGCCTATTTAGATATTTTAATACTTAGCTTTATTCTGATTACTTAAAATTATAATTTTTATAACTTTTATATTTAAAGTAGATAACTTAAATTAGTTTTAAACTAATATCTCTATAATTACTTATATAATAGACTTACTATTAACCTATTAAGTCTTATTATAATATATTTCTAAAAAAAAAAAGGTTAAGTAGTTACTAATATTAGTTTAGTAATACCCTTAAGTTAATAAGTAGTAGAGTAGAGCTAAATATTTCTTAATAATAAGGTTAGTACTATTAAGAACTATTAAAAGTACTAGAAATATACTTTTTACTTTATTACTAAATTAATATATTTCTAATCTCTCTACTAAGGGTTAAAAAAAGCCTATTTTTAACCCTTATACTAGCTTTTAAAAATAACCCTTTTTTAATATTATTATTAGCGTTATTAGTACTATTATTACTATTATTATTACTATACCTCTATATTTTAAAGACCTACTTATATATACTTCTTAATATCTTTTTTAACCTCTTACTAGTTATTATAATACCTCTACTAACTTATAATTAATATATTAATTACTTTATTAGTTATAAATTATTAACTCCTTATAGGATTACTACTTAGATTTATATATTATCTACTACTACTAGTAATATATTAACTATTAACCTAACTATATATAATACTCTTAAAGCTTTACTTTATACTATATAGAGGGGCTAGTAGTTTATTAATATTAATACTATTATAAAGAAGGGTTCTTAAGGTTATACTTCTTAAATTATAAATAAGGGTACTTTTATCTATAAGATCTTTATTAATAATGAGAAAGGTAGTATTTATTAAGTTTACTAATATTATAATAAAATAGGGATTTTTAATAAACTATATAATACTAAAACTATAATTACTACTACTTAATATCTTAAGAATAAGTATAAGGTCTTCTAAGGTTACTTAAAAGGTAGTAATATATCTCTTAATAAAGTTAATAACTTTAGGCCTCTATCTAAGTATTACTAATCTATTCTTATTACTATATTTAAGAAGAAGATTACTTAAATTAAAAAGTTAACTATAAGCTTCCTTATTAATATTAGTAACCCTCTTATAATATTTAATAATTAGTATATATAGTATATACTTATTATATTTAATTATAATATTAATACTTAGATATATTAGTTAAGAACTAATTAGAGGGATTAATTTTAATAACTTTATATCTCTAAGAAGTAATAAATTAAGGAGGAGATATAAAAGGCTCTTATAAAGGTTTATATATTATTTAACTTATAGACCTCACTTAATTAATACACTATTATTACTATTTTTAGCTACTTTATTAATAAGTTAGGTAAATAAATACAGTACCTCTTAGGTCTCTATTACTAGCTTAATATTTATATTAATAAGAATATTACTACTATAATATATATAGTTATAAGAAACTAATACCTATTTAATAAGATTAGTATTATAATCTCTAATAATACTAGTACTAATAGTACTTATATTAAGGCTCTATATCTATTTATTTTATAGTTATATATAGAAATAGATACCTAATATTATTAAATTTAATACTATAGTTATATCCTTAACCTTATTAATTATACTATTATTTATAAAGTTAATAAGGAGGTATTTAAGTAAAAATCTAACTATCTTATTAATACTAATAGAATCTAAGAGGACCTAGCTTATTAGAGAACTAAGAGACCTATTAATAAATTTTAGAATATTATTAAGTATATTAGATTATTACTATAATACTTAGAGGCCTTTTTATCTATTAATAATAAAGTTAATAATAATAAGTATATTTTTATTCTATAGGAGGAGTTATTATAAAAACTAAATCTAATATTAAGTAATACTACTTAATAGAACTTAATATATAATATAATCTACTATACCCTACTTAAATATAGCTAGATTACTAGCTATATATACTACTCTTTAGGTCTTAAGAATAAAGATAATTATATCCCTAATAAGGATATCCTAATTAATAAGGATTAATAAGTCCTTACTAAGTTAAATAAGATATTTAAGTTTCTCTATTTATAAATTAAGTAATATAAGGGTTAAAGTAAAAGTAATAGGTATAATTAATTTTAAGAGATCCTAATAAGTTTTAAGTATCTTTTAAATTAACTTAAGGATTAATATAAGTTTTATAATACCCCTATTATAGAAGAGATTAACTTTATAGTTATATAAATATCCTAAAATCTCTTATTATAATAATCTTAATTAATAAAGGTATTATATTAATCTAGTTAAGTATTAATTTTATAAACCCTATTAATTAATAGTATCCCTACTTATTTATAGTCTAAATATATTACTATATTACTATATTACTATACCTCCCTTAAACTACTAACTTTAACTTTAATATATTTATATACCTATTAATTATTAATAACTAGTAAATACTTAATAATTATTATAAAAAGTTTAGAGAGTCTCTTCTCTATATTACTACTATAATATTATACCTTAATAGAGGTTTATAATAATTTAAAAAGTATTAAAATACTTAAGAAACTTATAGGTAGTTCTATATTACTAAAGAAGGTTTTTAAAAATATTAAGAGTAATAATATATTAAAATAACTACTTATACTAATAAATAAGCTTATCTAAAACCTCTATAAAAGTTATTTATATTAATTATAATACCTCTAAAGTTTAAAAACTCTAATTATAGTTCATAGTTAGATAGTAGCCTTTATAATACTATTATTAATAAAATTAATAAGTTAGAGAAGTATTTTAATTTTATAGTTATTTAGTTTATTAATAATCCTATTTAGTAGTAGATTTTATATTAATAGACCTTTTTAATACTTAGTAAGTTAGCCCTTAATATCTTTATTATCCTAGTAATAATAACTAATTATAAGAGGGTATTTAGCTTTACTAAACTAATACTAATATTATAGAAGTTATTAATAAAGCTATTACTATTTAAAGATATATAATACCTCTAGAACTAAATTTAAGGTAGTAGTATTATTATTAATAAGTATTACTTTAAATAAAAGGGTTAATAGGGGGTAGGATAATATTATAATACTAGATAGGTATATTTCTAATATATTAAGATATTATAAGAGCTTCACTAATTTCCTAAATAGATAATATTAATTAAATTAAATTAAATCTATTAAGTTAAGTAAGCTTTTAGTAAAAATCCAGTTAAATAGTTAAGCCTGACCCCTAGGCTTAACTTGTTTAATTAGTATGTAGCGCTACTAGCCACTATCCAGATATTCTGTACGTGAAGACATTTGTCAGCGCATCGGCGTACTCCGTTGTTTTGCTAGGTTTGGGGTTTATAATTCGAGAAAGGACGGTGGGAATTGCATATGTTGCCGTTATCTGGGCCGCACTGAAGGCAGGCACCGAATATGAGATCAGGAGTCTATATTCCAGCATCATGATGCCGCCAAACCAGAACTGTTATGTTTCATAAACGACTTCAGCACCAAGGCTATTATGCGCCTGATTCCACTTGGATGAGATGCCAGCGAAATGTAGCTTTCCAGATCGTCCTCTTTGAGCACATCAGGGGCTGCATGCCATTGTGATATGGTTGCGACGGTCTCTCTTGCACCAGCTGAGCGTCGCCTCGACAGCAGGTGCGTTTCTTATCATTGTGACCTACCTTCTTCCTTTCATCTCCAGATTGGCCCTTCTTCGCTCAACTCATCTTACTTGGGAGCTCTTTCTCGGCATTGCTTGTGGCTAGTGCCTATGCCTGCTATACAGGTCCGCCTACTCTCTTGTATTAGTTCACACTTAGTAAGTACGATACGTATAGCGACCCTTACTGAGCACTTTCCTCTCAGAAACCTAAGGTGAGCAGTAGCTGTGAAACTCAGTACCTTAGCACAACTGCGAGGGCAAGTGCAACTACGAGGACAGCCGCATCCAGAAGGCAGTCACAACGTAGAGGACGCAGGCAGATGGCAACTACGGCTGGCAGGGGCTTGCCTCGCCGCATGCAAGCCACGCGAGGGTGTCAAGAAGGGGCGTAAAACAAGAGACCTCTCTTCCTTTGCCAGCATTTGTGCCTCCTTCATCCCCTGCCAACTCAAAACCAACTACTACATGACCACAAACATTGCTTCATCAAACCGCGCATCCCATAATTCTTCGACGAGTCACACACCTGATAGAGATAGGTTATCAACATCCATCCACCAGAGTCCAACCTCTTCCAAGCGAGACGCCATGTGCGGTAGGACCAGGCACGTCTGGGTGTGTCCCTGCGAAAACTTCATTGTCGCCGCGGATTCTTGCCCTCGCGGAAAAGCTGAAGACAGGATCAGCGGCCATCTCGTTTCTACAACAGTCAATGCAGTCTTTCAATACTGCAACGCCTGGTTCACCAATCAACCCTGGGAAATCGTCTTCTCGACTCACATCACACCCGATATGGTTTGCCCGTGGTTTTACTGGCAAAACGAAACGGAAACTCGCGCAATGTGCACCGACTGCCTCCGTGCACAGTGCCGCAATTTCGATACTGGGAAAATAAATGGTTCGACTGGGAAGAAGTAATTGGGCTACGGAAAGACTACATGTTTTGGTGTTCATCCCATACACAGTTCGAAGCAGAGGTTGGAGATACGGATGCAAACACGCGAACACTATATGGCCTGATGTTCGTCACCCATGCTTTCCCGGGACAGCGGTTGGAGTTTCAAGGAAGAGATTTGGATTCATTATTTTGATAGCGGGGCATTCTTGCGGAAAACAAGCGTATGCGGTAGGAATGACGAGCAATGAAATTAGAAGATACATCCGCGCGGTGACGGCGTGGCACTAGCATTTCTCTGCCAGATCAAATCGGTGACACCTTCTCCGCCTTCAATACTTTGCCTTCGTTTTCTCCCCCTTCGTCGACTTTGGTTACTTCAAAATACCATCGTAAAATGAAAGCCTGCTCATCTTGTATCGCAGTCTCTACAGCAAATGTTCGATTAGAAAATTGTATTAAGATTCAAAGCACAAAATCTTAGGACTTTATCCCCACAGCTCAGCCTTTGGGCTTTGATAGTCTCTGATTCTTCAAATTCCTTTCGACAACGCAATCGATCTCTCGCCAGCCTGCAAGCAACATCGGTTGCCTTCATGTTGACGGGCGCCGCTCCGTTGTTGTCTTATTCAGTTCATATCTCCCGCAAGAAGGTAAGAGCCTCAAGGAACTGATCTGCCACAACCTTTGTCTCAAACATCAAATGTGATGGTGTGGGAGTCTGATAGAAACCAAATGGGAATTGATTCGCACTTTTCCTTTTGGGATACGCGAGCTCGCAGAAAGAAGAGTCGCTACCGTAAACATCTGTAGGCCTCAAGCCAAGCCTCGGATACAGGGCACAATGAAGAGATCCCTGAACTTATCGCATATCCACTGATTGTTATGGAAGGTCAGGTGTTGGGATCGCGTCTCCGTACTAGGGTGCGTTTCCCAGTCTCAGAGCGAATGGCACTCGCCACGAACAGTCCGTGGAGCTTTCTGACCCTAAAAGCGGGGTCGCGGGGCCCATTGAAGACTCTCTGGGTGCATCAGAGGTCTGTCGATGCATGCGGAAGGTGATGCGTTGCGCATCCAGGGGCCTGCAGAATCGCTCGGTGTCGAGCCAGGTTCCACACCCCACTCGAGGCCGCGTTTTTCAATCCCGGTGTAAAGTGTGACCGTCAACAAAAATGGTCGCTGCCCATATTGGGTGTGATAAACATGCAGGCATCGTAGTTGCCCCCGGTTGGCTGTCTTTCTATTCGCGCGCGGAATCTCGCGTGCCCACCGGACAACACAAGAACATGGGTGTTTTATGCACGTTGGTGCACGAAGGCGACGCCGCATCCGCCAAAAAGAGGGACCTCGGAGGCAGAGACCGCCCCCGCAACACCGAAGATATATCAGTCCACCCACGTTGTCTTTCTGTCACTTTTTGGGCTCATTTTTCTTTTTCCCATTATTCTCGAAGCTTTGTTTCCGCATTGAAGCCCCGCCAATAAGATCATCATGGCTAATCCCCCGCAAGATTTCGAGGTTCAGGTCGCTGCTGACGAGGAGGTTTGTTCACACGCCGTGCACTTATGTCATGCTTGTCTAATTAGATATAGCCGCAAGATGACACCCGTTCTGAGATGGGATCCGTAAGCCTGGCCTCATCAACAACTGCTGAAAGCTACCTATAGAAGCTCAAATCTTTCGTGACAGAGTATCGCGTCCTCTAGCACCAGTTTGCGCAGTTCTTTGTTGGACTATCGGCGCGAGAACGGCCGAACTTATCATCGGTACAAAGATGGCAGTAAGTTGATGCGATAGGCATGAAAAAGATTGACGGCTTAATCATGCTGCAGAATACAACTTCCCGAACGACGAACGAGAGCTTGACAGACTTGGTACTCTCCGACGCTGTTTCGCAATTTGCTTTCAAGCTAACCAGCGCCGTAGACTTGGTGCATCACTTGTGCCTGCTCACTCTAGATGACCGTCTCGGAATTGCCCCACCCTGCCGCGAAGATGCCAAGGTTGGTCGGGTCCTCGACGTCGGCACAGGCACGGGCATCTGGGCAATTCATTTCGGAGATGACCATCCAGAGGCCGATATCTTGGGAGTTGACCTCTCTGCGACTCAACCGGGCCAGTAAGTGCTCGGCGGGCTTGACATCTGGTGAACGGTTGCTGATGACAATTTCCAAGCGTACCTCCCAACGTCAGGTTTGAGGTTGACGATATCGAGGACGAGTGGACATTCTCGCAGCCATTCCAGTATATCCATAGTCGATTTATGACGTCCAGCATCGGCGACTGGAGACTTTTCCTCCAAAGATGCTACGAGTAAGGGCCTTTCAATGCAATGCCAACCAAAAGGGTGAGAAGCTTTAATTGCGGCTAACCCGTCGAAAAATTAGCAACCTTGAGCCTGGTGGCTACGTTGAGCTTCAAGAGACCGCCATCTTCGCCAAGTCTGATGACGACACATTGAAGCCCGAGCATGCCCTGTCCAAGTGGGCGGAGTATCTTATGGAGGCGTCGATCAAGCTCGGCGCAGCGTGGGTCGATACTCCCGAGCTGAGGCAGCTCATGGTTGATATTGGCTTCGAGAATGTGGCGCTAAGCACGTATAAGTGGCCGACTAACCCTTGGCCCAAGGACCCGCACTTTAAGGAGCTTGGTATGTGGAATAACGAGAATTTCATGACCGGTATGGAGGCGATTACGATGGCCCCCATGACGCGCGCGTTGGAGTGGCTTCCTGAAGAGGTCAGAGTGTTCCTCATTGATGTCCGTAAGGAAGGAAACGACAGGAACATTCACGCATATTGGCCCCAGTAAGTTTTCCCGCGCTTAAAGTTAGTAGATCATGTCTTGACATACCCAGACACATTCTGGTTGGCAGGAAACCCATGAGGGAAATCCCGGCTCCAGCTCCAGAGGCGTCCCCAGCGCCGGCATCAGCTCCTGCCCCGGCTGCGGCTTAACCAATGAGTTGGGTTAATCACCGAGTTGGGACAGTGAAACCCTGGCATCAACTGTTCTAATTGTGTGAGCACCACAACACATGTTAGGTCATACTGAGGGCTAGAAAATAGTTCCGCGTGCATTCCGCGTGCAAGTCGAACATTTGAGCGTTACTTAAGTACGCATTGCAAGATCACTGAGTATATTAACAATGAACCTCTGTTGATCTCTTCCCCTATCTGATCTCCGTCCCTGCAACGTCGCTCCTCAACAGCATCCCTTCTCTAGCACCGATGGCGCGTCCCGTCTTCAATTCACTGCGCAGCCTTGTGTCCTATTTACCGTGCAGTTAGTACATGTGTAATCTGCAACCCGTGCCTTCTCATCATCCAAATACCTTGTACTCAATCGGCGTCGCAGTTGAATGTGGTTCCACCATTGGCGCAACCAGTGTTGCGCGACTTGCAGTGCATTCCGTCCGGCTTGACGTTGGCAGCGCAGCAGAAGTCACATGCCGTGCCTTGGACTAAAGCGCCGCAGTTCTTTGGTTGGTCGCAGTGTCGTTTGACAAGGGAAGACGATTCGAATTGTGATGGCATCGCAACCGCCAGCGGTAGCAGAGCGAGAAGAAATCTGATCGCGACCATTGTGAATATTGCAAGTTGATTAGGCTTCCCGCGAATGACTGTAGGCAAAGACTGGTTTGGCGAATGCTGGGCTTCTATGTAAGCCGCATAGATCTAGAGGATATGTCCAAGCCTTTATGTATGCACAGGAATAATCGTGTCACACTTAAGATCGGAGAGCGCGATGCTGCTTGTCATCCCCAGAAAATGTTTCACTCAGTGTAGGTTAAGCTTCTGCGCCGAATTGTCACAAGGGCAAATCTTCCGCCCATTTCGTGATATAGTGGTGAGGGGGAACCGGAGCCGGGAGGATCACTCGCGATCAACGACAGGGGTGGGGGCTCCAGTTGAGCAGAAAAGAGATTGTTATGCTTTCCATCACCTGCATTCCACGAGACGGCAGCAGAAACGTGCTCGCGGCTAATGTAGGTACGCTGCCCTCGCCGTGAGGAGAGGCCGGTAATCTCCCCAACGTACATAGACAAGGTTTCCGTCTGATGATAGACAGTAGAGGGACTTTGAGAAGGTTCGTGAAGAGTTGCTGTCTTGAGCTGGTTTGGGGTCACCGAGGGCATTTTCGTCCGATCAGATGACGCGTTGGTCGCATCGGCTCTGAGTGCCTTCCGTGAGCTTGGAAAGGTTGATGTTCGCTCGGTAGAGCCAGCTAGTGAACTGCGACCTTGGCTGCCGCATGTTGGGATGTCGTCCGGAGTTGGGGGCTCCTTGTCAATGTTTGAAGAGCTAGGTGAGATGAGGATAAGTGCTTGTGTCATGTCCGCATTCCCCAAGGTGAGAGTGTTTCGGTGGGCCAAGCTTCGATCTAGAACGAGACCCCCGTTTTCGCATCGGAGTGGCCCCCAGGTTTGCCTCCGGGAACTTTGATGGGTGGATTGAGTGGGATAGCGGGCGTATCGCGACTGGACGATGCTGCGAGTCGGTTTCGGTTCACGAGTTGGCACCGCTATCCGGCCGATTGGGTACCGGGGCCGAGAGTGGTCGCCATATTAGACGATGCAGTCATGATGGTCGATCGGATGATGCCGTTTTGGGTGTACAGCGTAGTAGTTGCCGACGGTGCGATACCATGGGGTGGTCGTACCTGAGAATCCCGCTGCCTTCGATCACAAGCTGAACACCAGACCTACATACGTCTCATATCGAGCACGGAACTTCCCTTGCGGAGAGTACTGCCTCAGCAAGCCGCTGTTGCGGTCCTGCAGAATGCGAAGCCCTTTCTTATGTTGACGTTAACTACCGCGCGCGTCACTGGACAGGTTCGGATGCCGACTCGGACGGACTTTTCAAGATTCCTTATGAAGCAAACATCTTTCAACATGGGTTGACAACCACTCCATAGTTTAATTATCATATGTATTTTACAGTACTAAGGCTTGTACCTGCAAAGTATTCTAAAGTCCCGAGACGCCGTCCAGTGTGCTGTAACAGTAAGGAAATAATCTATGTATGGTACAAGTAATGATACAACTGCTTATGCTCTTCCGTTGGGGTGAACAAACTCAAACTCTTTGTATGGAGTCTTGACTAATTCTTTGTCTACCCACGCCGCTATACTGTTGACAGCATCTTGGGGGCTGTCCAAGTGCGATTGAAAGAAACCCTGCAGCAGCGAGGGCGTAAATGTGTTGTCCGGTATGTGGCTGGCGAACTTGCTAGCCAGGGCGCGAATCTCATCCATGTCCAGGAGCGATGTGCTGCCCAGGTCGGGCGAGAACATTCGCACAAACATCTCTTCGGCAGACTTTTGGCTGATGTTGCCGAGGAGAACCTTCTTGTCCACTCGTCCCGGGCGGACTAGCGCGCTGTCGAGTTGTTCGGGTCGATTGGTGGTCATTATGACGATGCGACCTTCTTGAGAGCCGACACCATCCAGGACGTTCAGGAGGCCTGAAAGCGTGCAGTTCTGTGAATGGTTGCTATCCGGAGAGTGAGATCGGCCGCTTCCGCTGCCGCTTTGTTGGTTGGCGCGGTCGACCCAGACGGCGTCAATGTCTTCGAGAAGGACGACGCAGCGCGGTGGGATCTCTTGGAACATCTGCTCAAGATCTGCATCCGTTGCAACGCTGGGTACCTTGACTTCATAGAGATCCAGGCCAAACTCGCCGGCGATGGCCACTGATAGTGAAGACTTTCCAGTCCCAGGGGGTCCGTAAAAGAGATAACCTCTGCGGTAAGGCATGCTGCGGCTCTGATATCTCATCTGCGTCTTGGGGTCGAGGTAATTCCGTATATCGGCTAGAAGATCTTGCTTGACTTCATTGTCGAAGTGCACGGTATCCAGATGGCGCAAGGGTTTCCGGGCTTTGGGCTTCCACGCCAGACCATAGCGATCCCGGGAGTAGATGATGACGAAGTACTGAGTCTGTCTATCCGCATACTCGCGGCAAGTCTCGATGAAGTTTTGCACCGGCTCCGCAGACCATCCGAAACAGCTGATGGTCAGTTCCTCGCCGCCGATGCCGTCGTAACTCGGGTCGGATAACGAAGAACTGAAGTCTCCAGCCGCGCGCGTGACAACAAGGAGGTTTCCCTCTACCCAAAGCCAACGCGTGTCCCAATGCGGAGAGTACTGCACGGCATGCTTCGTCTTCTTCAGCGCAGCAGCTCGGTCAGCGCCTCCGCGACCGACCTCGGTACGGCCGGTAAAGGATCGGTAATGTTGCGGCCGGTTGGCAAAAACCCATTTCACGACACTGCGGTTGACCGGATCACCTCCGGGAATCGTGACGGAAGCCAGAAAGAAACGACGGATGCAGCCGTAGACTTCGCGCCAGGCGTGCTGCAGGAACCGCCAGGCCGTCGGGATGGTCCCCGCGATGGCGATGAGGGATCCGATTTGTGTGATGTCGAGCTCGGACCATCGGGAGAAGACATCCCTCATGACGCCGACGCCGTGAACCCATGGATCTAGGAGGGCGTGGCTTGCGCCGCCGACGTGGAACTGATGGGACATGGCGCCGTATGACTCGGCCTAGGGAGGGTTGGAACGTCCAATGGGCCGGCGAAGGGCCGGCTGCCGCCCCGGGCAGGGGTGCCGAGGTTCGGAGGCTCGGGGGCTAGAGCGCGTTGTTTATGCCTTGATGTGGCGGCCCCGGCGGAGATGAATGCAAGGAAATTGGGTGCAAGAGACGAAACAGGGCGAACATTAATGCATTGTGGGTGAAAGGAATGACAGGAAAGGGAAGTAAAGGGGTGTACAGGGCGTCAGGGCGTCAGCAATGAGCTCAACGTGTAAACATTTCTCAGGGACTCAAAAGGTTTTTCGGTAATCTCTGGGCGAGCCACAAAACATGAGCCACTGAGTTTATCAGCCACATCGGCTCCGAGGTTGACTGTCGATAAGATAAGATGAGAGATCTCAGGGTATGTACGGCCCGAGATAGTCCGAGAGAGACCAGCTGGGTCCCGAGGTCCCTTGATCCTTGTGATTTTCTCGGAACTTCGGGGAGTTTGGGGGTGATTTTTCCCCTTCCCGTGCCCACTCGTGGACCAACCCCTTTCTCACCCTCTGCCTTGATTTTTGCTGGCTACTGAGTGAGAATCCGACCAGGTCTGAAGACGCCGTCTCTTTTCTCGGTGACTGGCAACTGCGACGTCTTGCTGCCAGTCACGCCAACTTCATAACATGTCGCCCTCCCCAAGTTGAATGTTTTCTATCTACATGACTTTGGGAATGATCTATGTGATGGCCTTCTGACGCACGCACTATTTTGAGCCGCCCGCGCCTATCTCTGCCACCCCGGCACCATCCTGGCACATCTCATGTAAGCGTAACCGCAGCCCGTCTCAGCTAAACATTTGCAGATCATAGCTCGGCAAGTCAACTCTAAACTCAATCCACAGTCACGGATCACGCAAAATCTCTGAACTTGGAACAAAATGTTTGGTGATGCTGAAAAAGTGCATGTACTATTTTGGTTGCTCGGCCGGCCTCTCAGAGCCGCCTCGCGGCACCCCGGCACCCAAGGCCAGAGGTGCACAGCTCCGAACTATGATACAAAGAAGTTTATGTTTGACATGGTATATGTACGCTGTTTTTTTCTGTCTTTCGTGGACTGGTTCCGACGACTCCAGTTTACTGGACGAAGCGGGACTTGGAAGCCCAGCCGAAGGCCTCAACCTCACGCTTGGACATGGCCTTGACGCTCTCGGCGTAGTCGCCGGTGCCGTGGGAGGGGTCGGCGTCGGTGGCCTTGCAGGTGGCACCGGCGTTGTAGTTGCCAAGCTTGCCGTTGACGGCGGAGAACTTCTGCTTCTCGTTGGTGGTGGCGATCATGTTGGTAGCGGCCTCCTCAGTCCAGCCGTTGATGAAGTCACCGTGGGAGCACCAGGCGGGGCCGCAGGCAAGCTTGAAGGGAGCAGTGCCGGACCAGCCGTCGGGGAGGACCTTGCGGAGGTCGTAGCGGATGGAGAAGCGCAGCTGGGGCATGGACTTCATGCCGCTGGGGCAGCTGCCTCCGCGCTTGGTCTTGTAGCCGGTCTCGAGGGTGTCGACGTTGACGCACTGGGGGAAGTAGAGGAGCTGCTGCAGGTGGGTGCCGCAGGTCGAGCTGGGGAAACCGTTGGCGTCGAGGGAGCCGCCGCCGCCGTTCTCGCAGGCCCATGAGACCTGGGCATCGGCGGGCATGGCAGACTCGGTCATGGCGGTAGCATCGCCGGCGACCATCTGCAGGTTCTGGGGAATGGCGACCTCAGCGGGGGTCTCGCCGAGGTTGTAGTAGGCGCTGAAGCGCGAGACGGGCATGGGCTCGTAGGTCTTGCCTCCGTCAGTGGTGTAGAGCGGCGTGGGGATCCAGTAGACGGAGAGATCGTTGGGGTTCTCGGCGTTGGTGCAGCCCTTCTGGAGCTCGGCGCTGGTCTTGGTGTTGATGGTGACGGCGTCGGAGCCGAAGAAAGAGTGCAAGTGAGACTTGTCGTACTGGCCCGGGAAGACGATGGGGTCAATGTTCTTGGTCATGAAGGGAGTGGCGACGTTGACCTGGGTGTAGGCCTGAGCCACACCGGCGAGCAGGCCGGTGGCGAAAAGAATGGAAGAGGACATCCTGTGTCTTGTGAAGTGAATGAACGAACGTTGGATTAGACGAAAACGAGAGAACGGAGGCCGACGGTCAACCTAAATGAATGGAATGGAAGCTGGAGAACAAGAGAACTGGAGTCATGACGATAGTTGGATGGGATTTCACCTTAAGTAGTCAATCAACGATGTTATGCTATTGCCTACCTACACGCACAGAGGAGAATATGTGATCCAACCCCTTCTCCTCATTAATTTCCGTCCACGTTTCGCGCCTTCGTGGAGAACAGGGATGATTCCGAGTGGGAACGGCGGGAAGCAGCGGAGAATTCGGACAAGGGCAGCACCACAATTGATGCGATGGCAGGTTCACGTTGATTGGGCAAACTCTGAACAGCAGCAAGAAAGACGCTAGTGTCGTCTAGCTCCGCCGTGTCCGCTTTAGGAGTTGCGAAACAAGAAACCGTCGAACGGCCTATGGATCTGGCCCCTTAATCAATCTGACAAGAAGCGTAACTGTGTTTGTCTTTTCGGAACCGCCAAGATCGGTTGACATGCTCTCGGTAGCGGACATTTTGCTTTGTTTGACCTGCCAAGAGTGGGCACACTTCCGTATTCACTCGCCTTGGTTGGAATTGTTTGCAGATGCCCCCTGTTTCCCGTATGGCCCCAGTTCCTATTAGAGGGCAGTGATCCAAGGCGGCTGAGACGGATCGAGCAGCGCTTAGATATCCGTCTGGCCCATTTCGCCTTGGTCGGCGCCCTAGTCATGGGGTTCCAATGGCCTGAGAGGTTGCGGTAGGCGCCGGGGTTGCATCTCGTCTGATCCTGATTGCGCCGTTGGCTGCACTCACCACCTGCAGCCCCGTGCACCGGCGTCGAGACGAACATCGGCTCCGAGGGTGCATGACTGCAAATCTCGTCAGGGGTCGTGATAAGCCATGCAAAATGCTGCCCATACGTCATAGACGCAATGTTTCGAGTAGATGCAAGCGCAGCCGAGACGGGAACATTCCGACCATATGCTTGAATGGGCGGTAAGAATGATCTTCAACTAGGCAGGGAAGGGTAAGGGCACAACCGACCGGCCTCGGAGGAGCCCTTGACCTTTGATGCGGCTACAATTTTTTGAGGCTTAGTCGGCTAAAACATGCGAAAGCGAAATTCCATCTCGTCGGGCCCATGCGATCGGTCCAGCCTGTAGCGTAATGAGAAGGACCAGCACACTCGTCAAAAAGCGTCTAGCGTGCTAGGATCGGGATGTGGTGCCGTGCCATCCCGTTGGTCTTCTGCGCGCGTACCTAGTGAACTCCAATGGAACATGAACGCACGGTGTGTTCTTCCTTCTAGAACTTTGCTAGTAGCGCATTCAATGCAGTGAGCAACTTACACACAGGTTCCCCCATGAGCAAGAAAAGGATCGAAAGCAAAGTGTCCTTTCAAGTGGTGGTTTTAGAAGCAAGTTCCCAGTGCTTCTCTGTGTGGCCCAGGAAGTCTCTGCTCCCACCGGCGGCGTGTTCTCAATTTTCTGTTGAAGCGAAGCATCAGATAGATTATTGACAGGGGCCCCTGGTCAATGCGGCTTTGACTTTGACGTTCTGGACTGATAGGGATGAACTCCTCGAACCCATCGAACCTATTCGTGCACGATCGAATTTTCTGTGATCGTACGTGTACAGTCTTGGCTTTTGAGACGATCAACCAAGGGTAGGGATGGCCAATATTTGGCTCTAGTTGACTTTGCATGGTGGGCATTCACCTCGTGTAAGCTAATCGGATGTTGTCCGCTAAGGTTTCTAATGTTCACATTTCGGGAACAGGAAGCTTTACTTGGAAAACTATTGCCGAAGCAATCTCCTGTAGCGTTTTACAGATACAATATTGAAAATGTTACAACATCCAAAGATGGAGTTCGTCATTGGCTTGCGGTTGCAGATGGGCAACGAGAAAGACATAGTGGTCACCCACTTACCGAGAGTCCATGGCGTGCTTTTCAGAGAGGAATGAAGGCTGAAAAGGGGGAATGGCCTTGGTGTTTTGATAGTTCAATGGCTAATGGGCTTCCTGTTACGAGGCAACATCTTATTGATTTCAATAGCTAGCTCATCGTTCTAATGACTTAGTGTGCCGACAGCTATCTACGGATCGTCAATTAAGCTTGAGATTCCCGCACCATTGGTCAAGCTTAAGATCAAGTGACGCGTCACCACTTAAGCTTATCCCCGCGTTCGGCCTCAGAATCCGAAAATTTCTATTACCAATAGGCGAGAAATACTAAAGTAGTACATGTGTCACAATGATGCCCAATCAAGCAACATTGTGATTTCTGCTCAAATGCTAGAAGTCTACAAAAACAGGCATGGCGCGCCCTTGATGACGTGTGTGTGTCCAGCAATATTCAGGTATCGCGCTCCTTTTCCTTTCCAAACGCACACCGAACCATATGATCAATAGTCTAAATGACTGCCCAAATGTTGCGGTCCAACCTCAACCGAGCGATCACGAGAATTACGGCGCCGAGAATGAGAGTTGCGCCCGTCCACATAGACAATGCCAGGTATCCCGAGTGACTGAGAATTTGGCCGCTGATTGGTGGGCCGACAAGTGCACTGGATATACAAACGTCAGAATTTACGAAAGATTTGAGGCGTTGGAGGAAAACTCACGTCACCGATATGGATCCCATCATGAACCCTACCGCGAGACCTTGGCTTCGGTGGTGGGCAATCTTGCCGACACACGCTCCTTGCAAACTCATGACAGCCTGGCGAGAAACGAGTCAGTGAACATGCCGCAAACTCCAAATTGGGAAAACCGTACGCCGGAGCAAAAGCCATACGCCAAACTCCACACGGCCAGGCCACCGAGAGTCGTGGCGGCCGTCCAGCAAAACCCGACAATTCCGGCAGAGAGAGTTGCGACCGCGCACATATTGAAATGTCCATATCGATCTGCAACGAGGCCGGGAATGACTCTGCCAAAGAAAGAGGCGGCATTGAGCCCGGATAGAAGATAAAATGCAGTGGAGGAAGTCAATCCCTGGGCGATGCCGAAGGCCGATACGTAAAAGAGGGGTGTGAAAAGACCGAAGTACCCAATTGCAAGTCCGCCGCACAAGAGCATGAAAGACTTGTTCTTGAGAACGGAAAAGTCCGTTTGCTTTTCAGATTGTGTGTCGTCGGTCGTAGGCTGGTCACCTTTTTCGTTGCTATCGGATGCGGGCTCAGCTGGAGGGGCCGGGGATTTGGCGGCGGGTGCATCGACGACTGTTAAACATGCGGCCCCGAGCAAGGGGATCATGGTGAATGCGATGGCTCGCATTGTCCAGCCGAAGCTGATTTTCCGATGGTTGAGAAGTTGTTCGAGCATGATCGGCCAGATGATGCCCCCGATGGAGGAGCCTCCGATGGTGAGGCCGAGAGCTAGACCACGGCGGTGGGGCATGCGGCGGGAGACGACGGCGACTGGCGGGCAGAAGATGAGGGACATGCTGATGCCGAGAAGGACGCCTTGGGCCAGAAAAGCCTGGTAGTATTCCGTGCATAGAGATGTCATGAACAAGGCGAGGAGTTGCCCGATACTACCGACGCACAAGAGGATCTTCGAGGACGTTAGTTCCCTTGTCAGACATATTCAATGATGCCAAAGTCCGTACCGTAGGGCCGACTCTGTCGCAAAGCATCCCGGACACGGGTGCACAGAGGTACAGAATGAAAATAGAGACCGAACCAATCCATGATATGTCGGATTCGGATTTCTCAAAGTACGATTGGTAGTATTCTTGGAAGACGCCGAAGGCATTGAGAAAGCCCACCGTACAGAAGAGAGAGAGGGCTGCACCAAAGACAGCGAGCCATGACCGGAAACTGATTTTGTGTTAGTGCGCAAGGACGTCGGGAACGATCCGGGAATAAGGCACATACCTGTCGTGGCCTGGCGGAGGGCGAAGTGCGTTCATGATGATTTGGTGATGAAGGCACTGAATAACTCTTGAGCTGATTGTAACTTCTTAGTGATTAATCCAAACTTGTCATGATGGTGATATCACTTATATATATCAAGCATCGTGTGAATACTCAATGCTGTGTGTTAGTCCGGCGCAGTAGTGAGGTAGCGTAAGGTAGCGTAAGCTCAGCCGCGGATAATCCGCGGAGGGCGCTCCATCCTCCCGTGGAGCATCCACGGACGTCCTTGTCTCACTTTCCCATCAGCATGTCCGTCGTCCTTGACTGACTTCTTTCACCATCCGGCCACAGACCATCAGAATAATGAAGCGTAGCACAGCGTCACAACAGGAAGAGTCCCAAAAGCGGCGGCGACAGCCGCAGGTCTCGTGCGACTCCTGCCGAAAGAAGAAGTTGAAGTGCGACCGTGGGGACCCTTGCTCAAGCTGCCTCATGCGTGGGTTGCCCTGCACCGGACAGCCAAGCCCGCCAAAGGCAGCGACGAATTCAAGGTTAGGTCCTCCTTCTCACATGTTTGTTCATTATTGACGTATAGAAAGCCCCGCCATTGCAGTGCCAAGCCCGCAGCACGATGACTCCATTCTTAGCCGGCTCCGGAGGCTGGAGCAGGCGGTATTCGGCTCCGGGCCCACCCCGGCCAACGGATCTTCCGCGGAACCCGCCTTGACGATGTTTGACTCTCGCGTTGGCGATATGGGCAGCCAAAACGTCAAATCTGTCGCAGTCAGCTCTCGGAAGTCTTCGCCCCCCCGTTCATCAACCAGACCGGTGACGATCAATGAGAGGCAGCAGACAGCGAAGTTTCTCGACTCCACGTTCACACGGCATGGCCTGAACGTGAGTGAAATGTCTGAGTGATACTCTACAATATTGCTAATAAGTTCAGATCTCTCTACCTCACGATAAACTGGATTACCGCATCACCAATATCTCACAATTCCCACGAACACCGTCCACAACGACACCAGGCCATACACCGACAGACGATGCAGACGGACGAGCATCGACCTGGCTCATGACGCGAGACGAAGCGATGTCGCTTCTCGAAGACTTCACCAACAACCCCTTCCACATGCTCCCCATCATTCACGCGCCAACGACTCGGGCCATGATCGATACTTTCTACAACACCCTGTCTGAAGGCGAAGACCCGAGCGCAGCCCAGGCAGCCTTGATCCTCAGCATCGCCGCCACCAGTGCCTTCTTTTTCAATGAGAACTCCAAGGCTTTCAGCACGTTTTCCTCGTCCGAGGATGCGACGCAAACCGCTCTGGGCTGGTTCCGATCCGCGCTCAACATTCTTGATCAGTCACAGCAGATCACCTACGGATGTCTGGCAGAAGTTCAAGCAAGAACGATACTGGCCTATCTGATTTACAACTTTGAGGGGTGTTCGGGGCGGTTCAGATTTCTTCATTCCTGTTCTCTGGCTTCTGCACGGGAAGGGTTGGTTCATCTTGTTGACTCACCCAACTCGGAGCAACAGGACGATGCCACCACCAAGGAGATCAAGAGGCGCGTGTGGTGGCACATTGCTGCTACAGATTGGTAGGTGTTCACAGTGTAACATTGGAACATTCAAACCCTAATCATTTCTAGGATGCTCGGTCTCATGGGTGGGCCAACGGATGGGACTTACAGCGTTCAGCCGAGACAGATGAACGTCAAGTACCCGCGCAACATCAATGACGACGCCAACAGTCTCGCCGACGAAAACATCGACCATCCATCGGATGCGGCGACGGGCATTTCATGCTTTCTCCGACGAATCCAGCTCGCCGAAATCACCCGCTCCATCATCGATGCCAGGACACCCGGCGCTCCTGATGCAGAGATTACAGACTATGATCAAGTCACCCAACTTGATCGTCTCTTTGCAGATGCCCTCGCAGAGCTCCCAGAGTTCCTTCGTCCCGACGGACCGATCTCGCCGAATGCACCTCCGCATCTCCACCTGCAGAGAGACGTTGTTCTCCTTGGTTTTCACTCTAGACGTGCCAGACTGCACAGGCCTTTCCTGCTTCACGATGCTCAAGACGCAGCTTATGAGCGCTCACGAGACATCTGCCTGAAGTCGGCCCGGACAGTCTTGTCGATTGCCATCCGCTTGTTGAAGGGATCACAGAAGAGAGAGCCCATTCGTGCATACAATGCGAGAGCCATGGGCCGCCGGCTGGGATGTGTCATAGGACACATGTTCATGGCATGCACCATTCTTGCTTTGAACGCAGGCTTCGACACCAGTCGCGACCAGCCGAGAGGAGATGCGCGAAGGGATGGAGTGATCACAGATGCCACGGCAGAGACGCATGCTGAAGTTGCCCAAGCATGTCGTGCTCTAGCATCAGCGGGAGAAGAGTCTGCTGTTGCGGCGAGGCTAGTTCGGAACTTGGCCTGCGTGCTCCGTCGGTATCGGATCCAAGGCGTTGACGACGTAGAAGGGTCGGAATCGGAGCATGCTCCCGAACCAGCTCTATCTGATATTCAGGACGGCCCTACGGCCTTCGGTAAATACTTGGATGTGGGAGACATGGCCTTTGGTGTTGATTACGTAGGGATGTTTAATGATGATCTTGGCTTGGATGGGCTGTGGAATGGGATTACAGGAGACACATCAGCGGCATATGGTTGGGATCAACTGTTTGCAGGTCTGGATACATATTGTGGCCAAACATCGGCGTTTTGAGTAGACTTCTGCCATCCAGGCGGGTAGCGGGCATACCTAGACGATAGCAGGGGCAACGATGACAAACACGATTATAGTAACAGGGACTACAGGGGACGACGAGGGTGATGAGCATAGTAGAATTATGTAGATGAGGTAAACTATTCAAAAATAACATGGGTTCTCTTCCCGGTTAGTCAGGTGTATCGGCTCCGATAGCATAATTCTTTAAATGCGCCGCTCGTGTCACATCTGCAAGACAAGTCAACGGGTATGAATCTCAAAGCTTCTCTCTTACTTGATTCTAATGGCACAATATGATACAGATTCTATGTCTATCAATTAGACGACGTCTTTGCCATCCCGTCCCACCTCTCAAACGCCCTCGAATCCAAATCGAACAAATCCAGTAGCCTCCCTACCATCTGATTGAGAATATCATCAATCCCCGATGGCTTCGTATAGAAACCCACAACAGGCGGCGCGATAATCGCCCCGGCCCTCGTCACTTCCAACATGTTCCTCAGATGAATCTCGCTAAACGGTGTCTCTCGCACCGAAAGCACCAGCCGCTTCCGCTCCTTGAGACATACGTCGGCTGCTCGCGTGATCAGGTCGTCGCAGATGCCCGCGTTAATCGCCGCTAGTGTTTTGACGGAGCACGGAGCGACGATCATACCATCGACCCGGTAGGACCCGCTCGCTATCGGCGCGGCGAGGTCGTGGGCGCTGTAGGCGTGGTCCGCGAGAGCTTTTACTGCGGACGGGGTGTAGTCTGTCTCGTACTTTATTGTCTCCGCGGCCCACTTGCTGATGATGAGGTGTGTTTCCACGTTGAGGTGACGGAGGGTCTGGAGGATGTGGATGCCGATCTGGGCGCCTGTTGCGCCGGTGATGGCGACGATGATTTTTTTGCGGGGGTAGGTGTCTCTCATTTTGGCTATGTGGGAGCTGTGAAAGTAATCGGAAACTTGATCAGAATTCGGGTATAGAATTGTACTCTAAGATTGAGTAATCGCAGTTGATGAGGGGCTTGCTGTGTCGTTTGAGGGTATTTGTTGACTTCTGTTGGATATGTCCCGACAGAGTGATGGGTTCCTCGATATTTATCAGGACCTACCGGCGCTCGCTCGGAGTGCCGGTAGTGATCTCCTCGAACGACGAAATGTCCGAGACCCGCAAGATCGGCATCATCGAACATAATGCGCGAGAGCCAAGGCCAATCAAGCTTTCTGGACTTGCTTGTGATGGGGAATCTCATGATCTCGGGGAAATCGGAGTGGACCTTGCCTCGCACTTCAGTCTCTCGGCGAATTCGGCCCCACATCTTCCCTCCTTGCCAGCGTCCGCAATTAAGATGGCTACGAGATATAAATGATGGATGCTTGGCTGCGTCAGTTGAATTTTTGGAAGTCAGGATCATCATAAAGTAAACTCACAACATCTTCAGAATCTTAAGAAACATTTATAGATCAAAACTTCATACAATCTCACAACATGTCTTCGACAAATCCGCAAGACCTCCCTCACATGAACTTCCGCTCCTTCGTGGAAGCCCTCAAAGCCGATGGCGACCTCGTCGAGATCAACGAAGAATGCGACCCCAACCTCGAAGTCGGCGCCATCATCCGCAAGGTCGTGGAAAGCGACGAGCGCGCCCCTCTCTTCAACAAGCTCAAGGGCCAGGATGATAACGGCCTCTGGCGTATCCTCGGCGCGCCCAACTCCCTCCGCGCCGACCCCTCGCAGCGATACGGTCGTCTGGCGCGTCACCTCGGCCTTCCACCTACCTCAAGTATGAAGGAAATTCTCGACAAGATGGTGGCCGCCAAGACCGCGACGCCTATCCCTCCCGTCGTCGTCGAGTCAGGCTCCTGTAAGGAGTTCCGCCTCACCCCCGATCAATTTGACCTCACAAAGCTTCCTGCCCCGATGTTGCACCAGTCCGATGGCGGAAAGTATATCCAGACGTACGGGATGCACATCGTGCAGTCGCCGGATGGCAAGTGGACGAATTGGTCCATAGCCCGCGCCATGGTACATGACAAGAACCACCTGGCTGGTTTGATCATCGAGCCGCAACATATCTGGCAGATCCACCAGATGTGGAAGAAGGAGGGCAAGGATATGCCGTGGGCGCTGGTGTTTGGTGTACCCCCGGCGGCAATTATGGCTGCAAGCATGCCATTGCCTGGAGGCCTGTCAGAAGCTGAGTACATTGGCTCGCTCGGCGGCGCGGCGTTGGAGGTTGTGAAGTGTGATACCAATGACTTGTACGTGCCGGCGAATAGTGAGATTGTCTTTGAAGGTGTCTGCTCTGCGACGGAGACAGCGCCTGAAGGACCATTTGGAGAGATGCACGGGTAAGTGGCCACTGTTTAAAAAGTTGGGATGTGAATTATGCTAATGACGACAGATACGTTTTCCCTGGCGAAGCCAGACCCCAGCCAAAGTACAAAGTCGATCGCATCACACACCGCAAGGACGCTATCCTGCCCGTTTCCAACTGCGGCAGACTCACCGATGAGACAGTAAGCCTTGCCTCCCTCTACGCAATCCAATCGAAAACTAACACAAGAAGCACACAATGATCGGACCCCTCGCTGCCGCCGAGATCGGATTTCTCCTCAAGTCCAAGGGCGTCCCCATCAAGGAAGCTTTCTCACCCTTCGAGTCTCAGGTGACATGGGTCGCTCTTCAGGTCGACACCGAGAAGCTGCGAGCAATGGAGACCAACGCCAAGGACTTTTGCCGGACGATCGGTGATATCGTCTTCAACGACAAGGTTGGGTACACAATTCACCGCCTCGTCATCGTTGGCGAGGACATTGATGTGTACAACTTCAAGGACGTCATCTGGGCGTTCTGCACGAGGTGCCGTCCCGGCTTGGATGAGTACCACTTTGAGGAGGTCCGCGGGTTTCCGCTGATTCCGTACATGTCTCACGGAAACGGGGACAAGCACAATGGAGGAAAGGTCGTGTCGGACTGCTTGATGCCTACGGAGTACACGACTGGTAGAGACTGGGAGGCCGCGGACTTCAAGGAGTCTTTCCCTGCTGAAGTGCAGGAGAAGGTTCTGCAGAAGTGGGAGGCGATGGGTTTTACTGAGAGAAAATGAAGCGTCAAAGACGGATACATGACATATTTACTAGAACTTTATAGACACCACTAAACGATAGAAGATAAATTGTAGACCTTTCACTGCCTAGACAAGTCAAACAGTTTCACAGGGAAAGATCTGGGACCCGGAATTCATGTTATACTCTGTAGTAAGTCGTACCCAGTATGTTCAGGCATATGAGCCTTTATTATGGCGTTAGGCTCTTTTACTCAACCATCCATGACTGTAACAACATCTGTCTCATGTTGAGGAGATTTCATAGTCCCCCGTATGATGATACACAGTAGGCAAATACAACAAGCACCTGTCCGATGCGAGCTAAACTTTGCCCATTAGGTCTGGAGCCAAAGTGGTGTTATACGGGTCTTTTAATTATACTTAGATGATTGGAAGAAATGAGTCTCCAGAGAAACTCTGATCTGACATGATGTAGTCAAAGGCGCCAAGCGGTGACATATCGAAGTTGAAAGGAAAGGACCAGTCGTCCGCACCCATATTCCAGAAGCTGAACAGTCAACTTTCTAATTCAACGTTGCCTAAGATGAGGACTCACCTATCCTGATCTCCTTGTTGATCTGGGTTCTGACCAGAGTTGTTCTCCGGTGGTGGATCGTTTGTGTTAACCGCATCTACATTGCGACCCCGGGAGGTCAAGTCGCTATCCGCTAAACGCTGAAGAGTTTGAAGGGCTTTCAGTGCCTTTTTCAGAGTCTCGGATAGATGCCCCGAGCTATCAGACATCGAATCTGGGTCGGAATCCGAGAGACTTGTAATCATCTCGTCTTGTAAGGTCCGTGTCTCCGGTAAGTATCTCGTTTCGCGCATCAGACTAAGCAACAACACTGAAGTGAGCCCATTATGAATGAAAGCCCAGGAACGTCTCGCGTGGCCCGTTATTGTTCTCAATCGGACGTATGCTCGAACACTGCGCCGGAGCGAGTCTCGAAACTGTTCCAGAATGACAGATCGGTCAGCATCATTCACTTGCCTAGAACTGGAACTAGAGATGAACGGTCGACAAAGAGTAGATACGACGAAATTCTTGTGCAGTTCAAAAGCGTAAAACTCCTGCAGTTTGCGGATTGATTTCCCTTTTTGAGGATCAGTAAGGTGTGGTGATAGGGAGATCTCCACTGAACGCAAGTCGTCGAGCATGGCCAGCGGTTGGCTTGGAAGACCTTCTCGAGAAGACACATGACGTAATGTGACGTGGCATAGCCAGTTCATTGCTTCCAGATACGATATCTTGCCATTGATGGGGGGATTAGTGAGAGGCGGTAGGTCTTCTTCGAAATCCATCTCATGAGACGCTGGCGGTCGGCCGAACGCAAGTGCCAGAAGAGCGTCTTGCCAGACGATAGCCAATCTGTAGTTGGTGAGACTGAATTCGTTATGTATTAGTGGAGAATTGCACCTACCTCAGATACTTGGCCTCTTCTGGAGGGATCAGTGCAGGCACCAAGCGGTCGGGTTTCTTGTGGATGCCAAGGCACTGGGCGAGACGGATTGTGGTTCCTCCCAGAACCCATGCTGCTTGTGGTTTCATGTCGTTTTGCAACACATTTCCAAGAAGAAGCAAGGTTTGGATTGCTTCTTTAGTTGGCTTCGCGAGATAGTCGGTGCATCTGAGAAGGTCGAAGGCGTGTTTTGCTAGAGCTTGTCAGATCGAGAGCGGTGGGGGAGGAAGATCGAGCAATGCAGACAATGAGACACCAAAGTAAATGTGCGACTCACTGTGCTGCTGTGACAAGGCTAGCCTTTTATGAAACGACAGTTCCGAAAACTGAGCACCAGTCGCCAGAATCGCATGAAGCAGGCAGAGCCACCAGGGGTCTTCTGGACATTCTGAGACCGCAACGCGTCCAGACGTGACAAGAGCGCAAGCTCTCGCCTCGATATGATCTAGATTGTACGTGATGACGTGAAACGGATGGGCTCTTTGCCGGAATACCTCAAACAGCCGGACAATCTCCTGGTCACTTGGCAAGGAGCTAAATGACATCGCAGACGATGCTGTGTCGTCGCTGATCCCTAGGAGTGGCAGAATGCCGGTTTCAAAAGCAGACTGGCGGGCTGGATCATCTCGTGAGCGAGGAGACCGCTGTCTGGCCATGTTCACCACTGAATTATCGGCAAGAAAAGTAGTATCCCCGTTGTTTGCCACCGCAGTCCCATGACTCGATGATCCGCTTGGATTTGGAGATGCAGCGGTACTGGGGCCTGGGCTGGCGTTTACATGGTCTTGATATGCATCTGAAGTTGAAAATGATGTTACGTCGTGCCGATTGCGGTCAGATCCCGGACTGCGAGTCGGCGGGTGAAGCGTCCTGGACCTAATGGGGGATCTGGCCCCAAGGGATGTGCGTGGTTCGTAGCTGCACAAGTCCGCATGACCTCGTTTTGAACAGGTCAAACACGGACGTCCCTTATCGCACTTGACCTTGCGTTCACGGCATGGTAGGCATGACTTAGGGTTGCCCCGAACACCGTTTTGCATGCGTTGACGAGATCGCAGGATATCCTTCAAAGTGGTCTCCGTGGCACTCGGAGTGCTCGGAAACTGTTGGGCCGAGTCTGTCATACCACCTTCGTCTCAACACAACTCAATCAGCTCTACAGCCAGTGAAGCAGATGTCGGCAAAACCGCGGAGTTGAGTTCGGTGAGTTGAACAGGCCTACAGCGGCGAAACGGTGGTAACAGGTTGCAGAACAGGCCTGATGCTGGAGTTGTCGCGTGAGCAAAGGTGATATCGGAGTATCGGGGAATGCAGGAACCCTCGCCCAGACCAATGTGCCAAGCTTGGTTTGAGGTTGTTGGCATGATCGCGATATTCGGGATAACGTTGATTGAGGTTAAGCTAGGGGCCCACTTAGCGCCGGTTTCGGAATTCGGCTCGGAGAAACATCGTTATGGGGTTCGAATTGAAGGGGCTTAGATGAGGCCCTCACTTATCAAGCAAAGCAAGGGCACCTGGGTGACCAAGGAAATCGGACTTTCTAATAATTTGAGGAGAACTGGCATGCGGCACGAATGCCCATTTTCCGATGTCTGATGGCGAGTTGGCAGGGGTCCGCTTACCTTAGGATGTGAGGGCACATTAAGGTACGGAACTTACATTAAATGTGTTCGACGACATACATCTGCAATGTTCACTCGCTCTCATGAATTAATTCTATCTCATTTGTTATTAATCTGATAAGCCTGTAAAGATATAATTCAAGGTCTAAGATCGAAGAATTTATCGATGCACAAAGAGCGTCCCATAGTCTGGAACTTGAGAAACATAGAGAAGCCAAGGGTTTCCTGCGCCTGCTGCAAAGAAGGAATCAAGGGCGGAAAGAGTGCCTCATTTCCAAGCCTTTTAGCTCTTTTCTTTGTATCTCTTCAAAGCTGTAACGTGGAGCGCCGTTCCATTCTCAGGTGCGCACAGGAACTTGGGAAGGTGCCCTCCTTTCTCGTCAGTCGAGTCCCAATACTCGGATTCTCTCCGGGTCACCGTTCGTGAAAGCGAGGTTGCCTAGGTACCTGAACCCCGACTCGACTCAGATGTTTGCAAAATTTTCTGAGGCAGGAGGTCGTCTTGTCTGAGTGTTTTCACCTCGGTCCTTGCGCTTTCAGGCTGACTTCTTTTATTTCATCTCCACCCAAACGCCCTCGCCTCGAATCTCCCACGACTTGAAGTTTTTCGCTCCTGACATCGCAACAAATTGTATTGAGAAATACGAAGTCATCGCCGATCATGGGGGACTACATCAAGAAGGAGGCCAGCGATGCCCATCTGCCGACGAACCAGGATTTCATCACCATCTCACACGGTTCCAGAACCCGCGTGATCCCGAAGCCAGCCAAATACGCCATGCTGGACAGAGCCATTCGCGACCATTTCTACATCCCCGATGACAAGAGAATCAGAATCTATTTCATTCCCAGCTGGATGGAGAAGGAAGTCGAGCTTGACTTGAACTGCTTCTGCCTAGTCGCCAGTCATGACTCTCTTCGTGTCGATGTCGCGCAGACCGTTCTCGTCCGGGTCAAGGATGGTATGTCTTCCGAGTCCCACCCGCTGTCATTGATCGCATCTAACACCCAATCGCTCTAGTCGGAATGGAGCACACCTACCTCATCGACAGCTGGTGCCCATTGGGAAAGGGGCTTGAGAAGTTTCGCCCCCGAAACGTTGCGCTCTTGTACAACGGTGTACTAGTTGAGGATTTTGACACTCCTGAGGCCCTGAAGGCAACCGGTGGAAGCATGCTCATGGAGCTCCTCTTTGTCCCTATGTGGCCTACGATCAAATGCGATTGAGGATTTTTCGAGCAGCAGCAAGAAGCTGCCATCGCAGCCTTTCTCTAAATATTGGGAAGGTTGCCGACAAGGGAGGAAAGATTACTCAACCAGAGGTTCTTTGGAATTGAATTTGTCACGGATACCACAGCATGGAAGCATCCAGCAATGGCTCTGGGGAATTGACGAAGGATATATGCGTCAAAGACCTTGTATTTTACTCGTAATGCTGACCAAGGAAAGCTTCGCGTCAAGACATCCTAAGATACCATTGAAAGCCTGTATTACGTAGAACCATCTCCCATTGTCCATTTGGTCATTTTGGAATTTCAACCTGAAAATTACACATGCGTAGAGCTGCCTACGTAGTTGACAGTCAGCCTAGTAAGAATAATAAGGAACAAGTCGAATGACATTGTACCTTTTCATGGATGATGAAGGTCGAAGATGGCTATTCGCAGCCACAGAACGACGACAGCTTGTTGCAGCCCGTCAAATCATGCAGACGGCCCGGCAGACGGCCCGGCAGACGGCCCAGCAGCCAGCCCGTTTGATGAATCTCCACCAGCCCCTGCACCCAATTCGATCCCTGTCAGCGTGGCTCGCTGATTCATTTCCTTTCACACATTCTATGAATCGACAATAACGTTGAGCGTGAGACTGCGCTGAGCTCTTCAATATGGCATCCGCGGGGTCCCAAGTGGAAATTGCACCACCGACAAAGGACGCCAAGGTCAAGCAAGACCCTGTGGAGGAGGATAAGTACGAGCGCGAGCCCTGCGAAGCCGTCGACGATCTGCGCACAACGTGCATATTCACCGCGCTTTCTGGGCTCTTTCTATCCGAGAAGTATGCCGACATGACCATCACCTGCAATGGCAGCACTTTCAAGGCTCATCGGGCTATTGTATGCCCCCAGTCGTCGTTTTTCGACAAGGCCTTCTCCGCCTCATTCAAGGTAGCCATCCGACTGACTTTGCTAGGAATAGTAGCTGACAAGAAAGGATAGGAAGCCGCCTCAGGAACCATCGACTTACCAGACGATGAGCCCTCTATCTTCCGACGCTTGCTTCAGTTTCTATATACGGGAAACTACGATGATGGAGTCACGCCGACGCTTGGAAAGCCGGCAGCGATTTCGTTGTTGCAGCCTGACGAGGTTGCCGACGAACTCAACGCACCGATTGGCGTTGAAGATCCCCGTAGGGGGAAAAAGGTCCCAAGAAGGACGTCCACCAGCTCAAGTCACCCTAGCCACTCGGCTGAGAACCCGGATGGCAGCGGCGCCGATACGACTAGCGTCACCGACGATGAGAGCTTCTCCGGCTCCTCGGGGTTCGACCCGGGCTACATAAGGAGACAGCCATCGAGCATCGAGCCGGAAGAGGAATACAATGAATTCTCCGGCGAGAATGTGGCCGATGAGCTCGCGGACGACGCAGACGACACCATCAACAAAAAGCTATCGCAATCCGAAGGAGCGGGCGACGACGTAGTGACCCTAGTAAAGAAGGAGCTTTACGGTGCTCGAGATGACTTGTTCCTGCCCCTGCGTCTATATGTCATGGCCGACAAGTATGACGTGCCAGCACTCAAGCTGTTGGCTCGAGAGCGCTTCTATCGATCGGCGGAACTGAATTGGGAGGTCGCGGACGAGTTCCCTGCTGTCGTTGATGAGTTGTATAGCGACACCATTGAGACGCATTCTGCGATGCGAGATATTGTATGCCGGTTAGTTGGAAACCAAGTGGGAAACGTGCGAACGAGGGAGAGGATGGAGTGGGTTATGAAGAAGCATGGCGAGTTCGCGGTGGGCGTCATGAATTATTACATCTTGTCGAAGGATGGAGAATTTGCCTGGTCATGATGGGGCCTTGTCGATGGCATAGAAAAATTGTTCCCCAGGCACTTCTTCAAGGATAATGTCCAAAATTTAGTCAGCCAGGGAAAATCCCTTGCGACGTCGATTACTGACATTTGAAGCAAAAGTATTAGGGTGGCTATCTCAAGAAATAAATATTACAATATCATATCAAACGGTGTTGATTCTTTTGAGAGCTACGAAATAATTGAATTGGGACTTCTCATGGAGCAAAAGGGTCTCGATAACTCGCACGTGAACAGAATATCTTAGTGGCAGTTTGTGACTGCTGATTGAAGCTATGAGCCCCTTACATCGTGAGATTGTAATTTGTGTCTTTCCTCTTAAGCTCAATCATGCCACAAGGCAACCCCAAAGACTCGACCGTATCAAAACTTCGGATTGTTTTGTCGTCATGCGTGAGAATGAAGGTACCAGGCTTGCAATTTCGCATATTTCCATACCGATAAAGAAGCCCACCAAATGGTTCCCAACTGTCAATCACAAATTTGTCACCTACAAATGAGAAGTGAGACATGTTGTCATCGGATAGCAGAAGCCACTTACCTCGGGCGTCTACTATGTGAATGAGAACCTTTTCTGGGAATCGAACCCAAATGGCATGGCCTTCACTCAACACCTCAAAGGAGTCCTTCACAAGCTCGACCTCCGTATCTTTCCATCTGATGTATAGACGAAATATTTGTGAATCTTTTATATCAAGCAGTCTGCAAACGGTTTGCTGAAGGTCGTGCCAGGTTTCCGGCCTCTGAATGAGGACCTTCCGCTGACCAAAGCAGATGGCCACGAAGCAGTGAGAGACGTCTGTAGACGGAGTGAATGGCTGGACACTGAGCGTCGGTGAGCTGGAACGGGAAGTTGTGGGTGCTCCCATTATGCCAAAATTCTGAGGTTTTATTGTACAAGAGTAACCAGCTTTAGCACAAGTTAGCGCTGAGAAAGGATGTTGTGTTGCCCAGGGGTAGAGGGAGCATTATATAACCTTACTCACCTCTTAGAGCTAGCCACTGGAACAAATTGGCAAAGCAGGAAATGCCCTTTTTAAGGTTATCCTCTCGAGTTTGGCTATGAACCTTCACAGGGTGTTACTCAGCGACCAGGTCTCGGGTATCGATTGAGGGGAATCTTATTATCAACTTCAAATGTAATTGGGTCACACGGTGATCAGAGACCTCAGATGAAGGTCAAGTTCCGCACATGCTCATTTACATACATGGGTACAAAGTCGGCAGTCATGTACCAACCGGGCTTCTTCATGCTATCACTGACTCTCAATCCGTTGATGACAAGGTTCTCGAACCTTACGAACTCAACCCCACGAGTTTCATTAAAACCAGTCATTATAGCCGTATTTGCATTCTCTCCAGAGTACACCAGATCCCTGATAGTAACATTGGAGATGCCTCGGCCAGGTGATGTATTGTACTTCTGGTTGTACATCACCATCATGGTGATGACCTGGCCCATTCTGAAATCCTCAACACGAACATTTTCAATAAGAACGTCTTTGATGAGGTTGCTGTCCCCTGGGTTGATCGCGATCGCGCCCTGGTATCCCATCTGGAATTCGCGGTGGTCCATGATGTCGATGTCACGGATGGTGATGTCTGACATGGTCTCGGGGTTGATAGAGTTACCATGGGTGCCAATGTTGATAGGATGTGCCACATCTGCCCATAAAGCTGCGTTCTGGATGGTGATATTGGTGCTGTCGCCGTACCAGTCATTGCGATGATTGTACAGCGCGATACAGTCGTCCGAATTTCTCATAAAGACTCCGTCAATAAGGACGTTCTTGCTACTGTATAGATCAATGCCATCGCCCCACTGAGTTGCACTGAAAGAGCGAAGTTTGCGAATGGTCACGTCTTCTGCTTCAGCAGCGTTGAAAGTGTAGTGAGTCGGATTGAGGACGGTGATGGAATCGATGGTGATGTTTTTCGACCACTGTGCCGATATGGCTCCCACAGGTGTGCGGTACAGGATTCCGTGACCGCGGATGGATGCTGACGTGACGTTATCAAGTGAAACAGCGGCATTCAGGACTGCGCCTGCCTCTAAATAGAGGGTTTGGCCGGAGGTGATATTGAGAGTCGAGCTCAGCGTGTGATAGCCAGGGCCGTAGTAAATGATGTTTGGATCATCTTTGGACGGGAGGCCTTTGAGAATGCGGTTGGTGATTATGTGCAGAACATCAAAGACTGAGTTGGTGGTTTGAATCAGGATATCCGTAGGCTTGGTCAAATTGAAGCTCAGCGAGTTTCCTTGACGGTTCGGAATGATACCATAAGAGTCTGGCCGAATGCGAGGAATCGTGATGTCTCCAGAATTGTATGTGACTGAAATTTCCACGTCATCATCAAAATCGAACATGGCCAGAGAGCTGGGGTGGACCATCGCAGATCCGGTCGTGATGTTGATCTCATGGAGGTTCACGAGATATGTAGACACCGGTTGCCACTCTCCGTCTGGCTTGCGCACGTTGATTGTGTAAGAGGTTGACTGTTTAACCTCATCAGGTATGGGGTAAGTCTGCAAGCTGGATGCACCACTTATGATACCAGCCAAAGCCAATATCGCGGGACCAAAATGATGAGGCAACATCGTGACTGTAGAGTCTGACTAGCCCAGCTGTCGACTTCGGTCGGGATTACCAGTCCTTTTGTATTTCGCTTTCAGCTCTTCGGTGATCGCCCCAACACAATCGCGTATACGGATTTGAGTAATGCGGCGACCGTTCAACGGTGCCCTGGGGTTTACCCCGCATATTTCGGGCGTTACCCGCGACCTGGCCCGATGTCCTCGGAAGCGGCCCGGCACTCTGGCCGCTGGCAGATCACTGCCTCTTTCTGGGATAACATCGCGGGACGTCAATCAAGAATACGACTGCGTCAAAGACTCAACAAGATAGTTCATCATAGATTACTCAAGTCGTAGCTATGCAATGCAATTTACCTGAGCGTCTTGAGTCAGAATAATTTGCCCCTATAATAGCCTGCCTACAGCGCATTTTAATATTGTGTCTCTATTAATCGCCAAATAACAGAATCAGAAGTGGTTGGAGCCATACTCAGTAGACGTAGATGAAGTTAGGGTTCTCCTTGTCCGTCAAATCCGTGAAAGCGGTAGCGTTGAGCTCGTCCGCAACGTAATTACCGCTGGCGCGTAGCTCTTCGCGTTGTTTCTCCTTGCGCTTGTTCTCCCAGATGAAGGCATACCGAAAGACGAAGAAAAGTGCAAGCTCAATGCAGTTAGCTACCAGCAAAGAGCCGATACCAAGGTGGTATGAGGGAGCCTGGTCGGTTTTGTAGAAGAAGGGGCTGGCGATGTTTCCAATGCAAGCACCGAACCAAATCATACCAGAAACAATCATTTTCTTAGATTGACCGCCAGTGTTTGAGGTGATGAGGGAGAGGGAGATGACGAAAGAGGCTTGATATGAGCCCGTCAGGTAGCTAGAGAGAAGGTTAGAGAACAGTTGCAACTTCGACCGAAAGCAAAACTCACAAGCAAATCAAGCGTCCGACATAAGCGTTCGCAGGGGCCAAGAGAAAACCCAGCGCACCGCCGATCGTCGGCAGCATGAACATCGCGCAAACAAGCGTGCGGCTGTTGGCCGGCATATACTTGTTCGCCAAGGCACCAAGCCCGATCCAGATCACCACCAGAGCGCCCTGCGGGATGCCAAGCAGCGCCGTCTCAAGCGTCCCGAAGCCAAGACCCTTGATGACCAGGGTCGAAAAGTTGGAGATGCCGCCGTTGGGGACGTTCGAGACGAACCCGAGCAGAGTGAAGAGCCATGTCTTGTAGTCGAGGTATGCCTCCTTAATCTGGCCCCAGTTGATCTTACGCTGCTCGATACCGGTCTGGTTGCGGCGCATGCGGGCGATCATGATCAGCTTCTCTTCATGGGTGAAGCCCCAGATTGTACGAGGCGAGTTCGGAAGGCAGAGGGCAAGGATGATGGCCCAGAAAGCGCAGAAAGCCCCGACGACAAGGAATTCGTAGCGCCACGACTCGAGGGCACCTTTGATATGACCGATTCCGTAGCCTGTGTGAACAGACATTAGCCAGCGGTCACCACTTGAAGAGGAGAGGCAACAACGCACCAATAAGACCACCTCCAGCAACACCGATGCCATTCCAGGCATACCAGGCCGAAATACGCGAGGGCTGCTCAGCACGAGTGTAGTACATGCTGGTGATAAGCATGAAAGCGGGGTCGGCGATGGCTTCGAAAGCTATTCTCATAATTAGCATCACATTACAATACTCGAACAATTTAAAGCAGTTGCTATGGTCTCACCTCCAGACAGCACTCGAAGAGAGAGAAGACCAGCAAAGTTTTTCGCAGCAGCTTGCGCCATGAGTAGAGCGCCCCACATGAAGATGTTGAAGGACAAGTACCATGCGGGCGGGCTGCGCTGCATGATGAGGTTGGACGGGATGGCCCAGATGAGCCAGCCGAAGTAAAAGCTGCTCGAGAGCCATGAGTACTCCTCACCCTTGAGGTTGAGGCCGTCCTTCAAACCAAAAATAGCAGCGTATGATCTGAAAGATGAAAAGTAAGCAACGACTTTCCAGGAACTTATGGGTTATCCATCAGGTCAACAAACAATGTGGTCTTATCGACGTAGTAGAAGAAGTAGCAAATGCCGAGCAAGGGAAGAATCCGCATGTCAAGCTTCCGGAGAAGTCTCTTCTCGTCGGCTTGGTCGATCGATTCATCGTTGGGGTACCGCGCGAGAGCTTCGAGGTAGATCTCGGGATGCTGTTGGTGAATATCCTCGCCTTCGACGTGAGGCTTGCGAAGGTCCTGCTCGACGTGTTCGACGTCGCTCTGGCGGGACTTTGCGTCGGCCACCGTCGGGGTGCTGTCGGCCATGTTGAAATTGACGGGATCGAGATGTCGCTATGTCGAGACAGGCGATTGCCGTGATGGTCTTTCAACGTGGGATATCCCTCTTCAAATACTTGACATGTCGGCAGTGAGCGCTTGGAATATCCCAAGCAATATTACTGATACCGACAGCTCGGTTTTCGGTCAACTCCCGCCGGAGATCGTTGTGGCGCGCTCAAAGGCCACTAAGCCCGCTAGGCAAGCCTTCGCGCCAACCTCCCTCACTCTCTACAGGGGCCCAGTCAAAAGCTGGTGTGGGTGACGGTTTCCTGAGTCGTGTGCGGGATGCGGGGTATGTACGGAGTTGGTAAGCTGCAGTTATTGGCGCTATCAGGGGGCATCAACAGCTTAACAGTGCTTTGCAGCGGGTATCATCCGCCGAGACCAGATATCAATTTTTCGAGGGGTTCCCCAATCAGTGATCACTCCTTGATGCCATTGAAGTATTTTACATTGTGTACGCTATTTTTGCATCCAAAGGAGTTCATCTACATGAACGTAAGTTCATCTCAAGGTTAGCTTTGCTTCTTGTCCCGATAGCCAGAGCTCGGATGACGCCCACTCTAGTATCGCGGGGTTCCGACCGCAAAGTCACTTCTCCGGGTTATTGCCCGTGGGGAACGCTCGTGGAGCGAGCTGGGGATGTGGGCAAGAACCCACACTATTGCGGGGAGGCCCAAGTTGTAGGAGCATAATGATACCAGTTCATGACCTTTCACTGGTGGATTTTGATCTTCCGTTGTCCTTACGTCGACGGGTCCATGAACTGAGGCTCAAGACCGGCGGCAAGATTGGCGTTTGGCGCTTGCGCCCTGCCAGGTTTGTTGAATCCACTAAGTTGGGTCCGCGATCGCACATCAATTGAAGCTATTTTCGCCTAGGAAGCAAAGTGCCGATGCCGCATGGCAGATCCCGTGATCATCAAATGGTTCGGACTCAGCTTCGGCTACCAGGCGCTATTGAGTGTGTCCGTCATTCTGTGAACCCATGTCCAAGTAGAAAGCCAAGTAGGTGGTAGAGAACAAGAGCTTGACTCCCTCACGCTGTGCCGATGCAATGTACGCGTGAACATTTTATATCTCATAGCTTCGCCAAGTCCTTTCGCAAAGTCTCCTCAATAGCGTCAGATGACGGCAAAAAGTCAACTTCAGCCCTCCAGCATGTTCATCCCTCATGCTGGGGCTCGTACATGACCAGGATGTAGGAAGCCCCGTCATTTTGAACGAGTAGCTGTGCAGTGCGCTGGAGTTCCCTCGGCTCCGCATGGCAAATCCCGGTTTTCAAGTTTTCTCCCCTTTGTCGATACTGGCTTTCTTGTTCAACAGCACACTCACGACATCCTCCCCGCCATGTCCACTCTTTTCCATCAACAGGTCCCGACAGTGCGGCCCTTTGGCAGCCAACCTTAATGCCTTGGCTCTCTGTATTTCTCCTTTGTGTTGAGAATAAAGCCCCAGGTGCGCGAAATTTAATATCCAACGATTGTGTAAAACGGCATAAGATAGTTTAGACGAACGACTGGGAGTTTTCGTTTTAGGGGATCAGAATTAGCGTCACAATATGGAGTTTACATAACACAAAACGGTATACAAATTGTATAATTGTTTCTAGAACTCAATGATGTCCTGGGCGACTTCAAATTCTTTGACAACCTATATGACCTGATCCTGATGGCAATCGACATCCTAAGGCACAAATAGCTACCCCGCGCCATACCGTGATTTTTGAATGACAAGAAGGTAACTACTTGCTATACGACCTGCTCGACCCATCTATGGGCACGTGAACGTCTGAGTACAGCTGTCGTTATTCTTCTTTCCCTTGCAAGCTGCTTCGTTCGCACTGTTTGCTGCTGCATTGAAAGTCGCCGCTTTGGCATCACGACACCTGGGGGCAGGATTGCTCGTGCAGAAAGGCTTGTTGCCAATGTTGCAGAATCCCGGTGCTTGTTCGTTAGCAGCCGATGCTGCCGTGATGAGACTAGTAAGGAGAGCAAAAGTGAAGAAGCGCATGTTGACTGGGTAGCTGTCGAACCGATGAGGTCAAGTGTGAAAATAAGCGATTGGTTGTTGAGATTACAGTATGAATTGTTATTGTTGATTGAGGGGTTGATGGTAGTTCACGTCATGACAAAAACTATCGAAGAGGCAGCGAGTTCAGGTTGTTTAAATACTTTTGGACATCATGGTGTTTCTTATGGACCTTTTGTGAAATTTTCCGTCCTGACTCGGTTGTTGATCCTGGCATTCTCGGACACGTGAGGAGGCCGGTGAGGCGAAACTGTAGCTCGAAGGGGAATATACACGACTCACCTATTACTTATGCGTACAAGGTAAATTACTAGCTGAATTTCCCTACGAAGCTTCTTTGAGATCTTTCACCTTGGGTGAAAACGGTTCGTCTATTTTGAACACAAACTGCTGTATCGTCTGCCACACTCCCCTGGTACTGTGGGGACTCTTCGCACCCAGGCAGCCGTGATAGTGTGAAGTTCACAGCCAGGGGGTTGCTAACGTATGGAGTGATTGTTTTTACCCAATGACCGGAGGCAACTAGGCAGTTGCAGATAAGCACTTCTGTGGCTCAGATTATCAGGAATTCAAATTCTTTAAGTTCCTCAAGATGTCTACTTGGATACAAGACAGCAAAAACAAAGTTGACGACGCTGCGGGTGGACATAATTATTCTGATGTCTCGTCTGTCG